AGATATAGTAGATATAGTAGATATAGTAGATATAGTAGATATAGTAGATATAGTAGATATAGTAGATATAGTAGATATAGTAGATATAGTAGATATAGTAGATATAGTAGATATAGTAGATATAGTACCTTAGGATCCTCGCGGATTTCCTTCTACTGATGGATGAGAACTTGCAAATCTTCGAGCTTTTACACTCGATCGCTTGGTACCAGGTCCAGTTTCGCTTCCTCAAATACCTTAATTCTCTCCTTAATAATGAATTTAAGCGTTAAGATTGTTATGTAGACGACGTGGTCACCACTCCTCCCTTCACGACGCATTTCACCACTGTGGTTCTAAACAGGGGTTTTCCGGAGCCAGGTGCTCCTGCAATGATAATCTTGCCCTGGTTAGTGTGCTTAGGGCTGTTGGCTACTTCAAGGTGCTGCCAAACGAAAAGGCCGTCGGCTGCTCCATCTGCGCTGCCGGGGGATCTCTTCCACATATCCAACTCTTTGGTCATGTTATCCGAGCTAAAGGCTAGGGCGTATTGCCACCATTCGGCCGCGGATGAGATGTCCTTTACGTTGTTCATGAGATTGCCTGTGCTTTCCTCGCAACCGATTGATTTATCATCAATATCGTATTCAATGCGCACAAGGATTTCCCTCTCGCAACGCGAAATGTTCGCGAAGTAGGTGTTGAGATGCATTGGGACCTTGTCAGGCGCGTCAACGATCAACGGCGGCTGTCGAAAATCGTAAGGCCAGTCGGCTTTAAGGGGGACTTCGACGTGGAATAGAGCGATGTTTCATGTATACCAATGTCTTGCTGGTCCCATATTCGCTCAGGGGCATCCCCAGCGTGTAGGGAAGAAGTAGCAGCGAGATATGATCCCCATGTCTGATAAGCTCTAAAGACTTATAGAGTGGCTTGCGACACGCTTCCACCTGGGCCAGAGTAGTCTAGCTTCCTCCGTCTTTTCGCACTTGACTCTCACTTCGTGAATATACCGCTCTGGTTTGCCTTTGAACTTGTCCCCGCAACTGACCCTCACTCAGGCCGATCCATTTCTCTGTCATCTCGACAGTCATAGTTTCTGACCTGTAAAGGGCCGCTTTCGTCAATACGTCGCCGTTTTTGGTATAGAAACTGCTAGGGCTTCTATTCATGACAATCTTGGCCATATTAGATAAAAGTAAGCCCCGGGCAGGGAAAGAAGGGGGGGGGGGGGTTCATCAGGTTCCTGTGATCATGCATTTTGCTACCCTATTTCTCTCGGCCCGTCGTATCCGTTGTATGGGTAATGAAAATATCATCACATCATCTCAGAGATGACAATTTCTCATCGCTACACCAAGATACTAAGCCAACTGGGCTGCGAAGTAATCTCAATCAGATATAACCTACATTCCATTTGGTAGCAAATTCTTATAGACCGCAAACTTCCATGAACCTTCCAGGGCGGGTGATTCCTTATTTAAACCGCAAATTGTGATAAGCTTCTTGGCTGTTAATTTCTCATATTGCAGACTTAGGCCGTAACTCAATATGTTGCAAACCAACCTCTTGTCCTTTTCTAAACCGCGAATATCCTTTATCCTAAGTTATCGTATATTTTTCGTGACAGGACGGAAGCGCCTCTATTCTTGGTTATCCAGCAGATCATGAAAGATCTCCGCTTCATCTTCAAAGTGCTCCACTCCCTCAGCTTCCGTTTCCTCCGTTTCTTCCCTATCCTGCCGCATCTCCGCCTTCTCTTCGTCAGCTGCAGAGTCCGAGTCGCTAACACTGACGAAATCCGCAGGCTTGTAAGTCGTTTGACGGGCGCTGCTCTTTGTATTGCGCCGGGCTACCTCACTTGATGGAAGAGGTATTCGAGAGGTCGCTCTAGCCGGCGCCGCAGATCTTCCTCCCAAAGAACCTGTAAGCTATGTTGAGATATTGCACTTCACGGACAGCTGTTGTGGCCACTTTGTGAGCATAGCTCGCTCGTGATGGTCATGAAATGAACTTTTAACATGGAGATTATGCCGGTGAACATTGGATGTCTGGCCAAGCCTATCCAATCTGCCGTGAATTTGTTCAATAGTTGCACAATCTTGTGATTTGTGCCTTGATCTCCGCGAAGCTGATACGGTATGTCACTGGATCGTCAACGATTTGCTCTTAGAATGCGAACATAAACTGATGCGCTTCGTGATCAGCTAACCAGCACCATTCTCGCAGCTGCGATGAGAGGGAGTAGCATGAGGGCGAATGAAGGTTCACCCCAGTGCTCATTGTGTGGATTCTCGCAATAAAAGTTTCTGCCTTGGAAATTGGGTACTAAGGCAAGCTGATAGACATATTGGTGGCATAACTCCAGAATCCTGGCAAGAATCGTTGCAGCGGTTAGCCAGAGAAGCCAGTCAAACTTCTCAGAAAGCGAGTTGACAAAGGCATCTCTGCAGATCCGCGAGAAAATGTAGGCCAACCTCCAAATCATTGTCGAAAAGTGATGGATAGCTTCAGCGCATGCTCAACGCCTGCAGTGGGCTCGGGATTTCTGCTGCGTCTTAGCCTTGCTTTTTCAGTCGCGGTTGGCGCCTGTCTGTCACGGATTATCGCAAGGTTTTGAGCAACTTGATCGACATTGCGGCCAAAAGTTTCCTTAGGATTTTCGTATAGGATATGGGCGTTACGCCAATCATATGCAACAAGAGGACCTTCTCGATAGACGATGAAGTTGATCCCACTGCTTCTCTATTAGCTCGAATCATACTTTGCTGAGAAGAGGTGAAGCTACCGGTGTTACTCCCGCCTCGTGACATTTTTGAGAAAGTTGTCTGATGCCCGATTTGGTTGACACTGGGGTCTAAAAGAAGATTTCTTGCATATTTTGGTTACTGAAATTTTATGGCGATCTTCTTCTGAGTCTGCCGCGGACGGTATGATGTTGAGCACGGCATGCGCGTAGGAGAATCTTATATGATGATATCATGGCTATGTGTTATCATGTGTGTTTGAGCGTTGAAGTGATACACCAAATGTTTGTATTGAGATGGCTGGTTTGAGTTGAAATTGAGCGAAGGTGGGGAGGCTGGTCAAATTGAAGAGAAGTGAGTAAATGCAACATGATGTTGGAGAAATGTGGAGCAGCAGAGTAGACTAAAGTGAATGTGAATCGAAGATGGAGTGGAATAGAGCTGATAAAGCGACTAGAGTCAATAGAGTAAGTAAATCTCATAGCATAGATAACGCAGATGGAGTGAATAGACCGAATAGAGTGAATATGTCGAATAGAGAGAATGGATCTAATAGAGTGAATAGAGTGAACAGAGTAGATAGATCTAGTATGGTAGGTAGATCTAATAGAACTAGTAGAGTGAATGTAAGCAGCATCACACTACTGTCTGTATCCAAATATCCAAAAGATGCTAGTAGCGTTTACTATGTCGGTGCTGCCCTACGACCGTTCTTAGTGCTGCTTCTTTATTTATCTCTGCTCTGATCGAATTATTAATGCAAGAAGAGAATTTCAGAGCTCGATGCGAGATAATAAGTACGCAGTGAGTAAATTACATAACAGTGGTTATAGCAACTGCAAAAGTTCCTAGGCTAATATCGAATTAATAATAGCAAGAGCTTTATATACTGGGCCAGCTTACATACCTAGATAGGTATGCAGACGAGGGGAGAGTGGCAAGGAAAAAAAGGACTTCAATTAAAGACATAAACAGGAATAGGAGCGTTGAGAAAGTTGTGCCATATATACAGTAGAAGTACAGACCCTAGGAGCAATGCAGCTAGACAGTCAATCAGACAAAATTATAATAGAATACATGTAGATGTAAGTGTAAGTGAGAGTGCATTGGAGCAGCTGGATCTATTAACAGCACACGCTGGTAGTGCGGGGTTGCAGATGCGGGGTTCTAGTGGCTTTATAGCGGGTTCCCAGGCCATCGGGGTCCTCGCATGGCGATAACACGTTCTATTGGGTAGGCCTTTTACCCAGGGCTGGTTGGGGTCTTCTCCTCCAATAATTTATTCTTAACTGCCTCCTCTTCCCTTTCTCCTCCTTCCGTCCTCAACTCATAGTATTCGCACGTCAGTCGAGCAGCCCTTGATGATGACAATTCAGGCCGCAAAGTTTACTCCAGAGGTTCTCCTCTCGGCGCCGCGGCGGTCGCCCGGCGTGCCCAATGCGACGGGCGAGCTCGTCTTATACACGGTAAGTGACGATGCGATGTTGGAAAAGCTCTGCAGTATTGGAGAAGAGACTGTTCTTCTCTTGCAGCAAGGGTCAATTCAAATTGTGCTTGTGCTCTTAGAGTCCTGGAACTAGAATTGGCTTGCATTGGATGGACTGGACTGGAGCGAAACCAACTAAAACGACATCCCTTCTTAGGTCTCGACGTACTCGTTCGATACCCACTCCAAAACCTCGCAGATCCGCGTGCTCAACATTAAAGAGGGCACATCGCATCTCGTCTCCGAAGACTCCGCAGCCAGCGAGCCTATCTGGATCAGCGAAAAGGAAGTTGCCTATGTCAAGGGCCTCGATAACGGTGCCTCGGCGCTAGTGGCACAGCATGTCCTCGACACAAATGAGTAAGTGAATTCTCCAATGGATTAGTATTGAGAATGAGATTTTCTTTTCTGAGAAGCTAACGCTCCCTATATAGAACAAACACCATCCACCGCTTCGCTGGAAGTATCTCTAGCGTCAAAGCCAAGCCTCTATCAGAAGACAAAGTGGCTTTCTGCTGTGCAGCTCTGACGACTCCCGACGGGCAGCTTCACAATCCATCTGCGGAACCAAAGTCGCATACTTCGGCCAAGATCTACAACTCCCTTTTTGTGCGCCATTGGGATTCCTGGAGCACTGAGAATAAGAATTCGCTTTGGTATGGTCAGCTGGAGAAGGTAGACGGGAAATGGACTCTTGGAAACTCTGCGCTCACTAATTTGCTTGCGGGCACCAAATTGAACTCTCCGGTACCTCCCTTTGGCGGCGCAGGTGATTTCGACATCTCTTCGAGTGGCATTGTATTTGTTGCCAAGGACCCGGAACTGAACCACGCGAGATACACCAAGACTGACCTTTATTTCGTTCCTCTGAGCTCCTTCTTGGATAAGCCGACTGTTCCCCAGATTGTCAAAACCGGAAGACTGCTTGGATACTCTAGCTCGCCCGCCTTCTCTAATGATGGCAAACAAGTTGCCTTTCTTCGCATGAAATCCCAGCAGTACGAGGCCGATAAGACGAGACTGTTGTTGATTCCAGACGTGACGGATCTGAGCAATGTACAAGAGTTTTACGAGACCGACGATGACAAAGGCGGCTGGGATTTCAAGCCCGACTGGATCGTTTGGAGCCATGACAACAAGGAGTTGTATGTTGCGGCCGAAAAGCATGCTCGTGTTGTCCTGTGGAAATTACCATCATCGCCGTTGGAAGCCAAATCTCTGCCCACCCCTATTCACGAAGACGGATCTGTGGCTGAGGCAAAGGTTCTTGGAGGCAGCTCATCGCTACTGATAACAACAAGATCACGAGTCGAAAGCTCCAACTATTCGATACTTGACCCTGCTACTAGATCGGTTAACGTTGTCTCCTCTACAACCAAACAAGGCCGAGCTTTCTCTTTGACTAGATCACAGTGTCAAGAGATCTGGTACAAGGGCTCCAAGGGTTATAATGTTCATGCTTTGGTCACTCTCCCCTCAACTTTCGACCCTTCTAAAAAGTACCCCTTGGCTTTCTTGGTACACGGTGGACCACAGGGAGCCTGGGGAGATGACTGGAGCACTCGGTGGAATCCTGCCATCTTTGCTGAGCAAGGCTACGTTGTTGTGAGCCCTAATCCGACTGGAAGCACAGGCTATGGCCAAGACCACACCGACGCCATTCAAAATAACTGGGGTGGTGATCCCTACGTGGATCTGGTCAAATGTTTCGAGTATATCGAGAAAGAAATGAACTACGTAGATACGGATAGGGCGGTTGCTCTCGGCGCCTCGTATGGTGGCTATATGATGAGTAAGTTCTGCTAACATTTGTAAAAGCGAGAGAGACAAGCTAATTCGTTGTCAGACTGGATCCAGGGCCACGATCTGGGGCGAAAGTTCAAAGCGCTCGTATGCCATGACGGTGTCTTTTCGACTCTCAGTCAGTGGTCTACGGAAGAGCTATTCTTCCCCGAGCATGACTTTGGCGGCACACTTTGGGATAACCGAGAAGGTTATGAGAAGTGGGATCCGGCCAGGCACACTGGCAACTGGGCTACACCACAACTTGTAGGCTGAAATCAAGCTACATCATAATTTTATGACCAGCAACTAACATAATTTGTTCATAGGTCATCCATAACGAGCTCGACTATCGTCTGCCAATCTCTGAGGGCTTGGCTATGTTCAACGTCCTTCAGGCTCGTGGCGTGCCTAGCAAGTTTGTCATGTTCCCCGATGAGCATCATGTAAGTCACATACGCTATATGTTCATCTTTAAGGAGTAATTCAGGTGCTAACAGGTAGCCAGTGGGTACTCAAGCCTGAGAACTCGTTGGTTTGGCACAGAGAGGTGCTGGACTGGATCAATAAGTACAGCGGAATCTCTGAGCAAGAGTAATTATCTTTCACATTCCTTTGATATATCCGCGCGCTGAAATTGGACGATTATGATAAGCTTGTAAAACACGTTGACCTTTTGAAGAGGGTTTTTGTTCTGCTTGTTGGCTATCTATATCTCGCGTTTGACAAATTGCATAACTGGATGGGACCCTGTTTTCCTGCTTCTATTGGATTTGATAGCATGCACTCAAAGCTGTAGCCGAAACGCTATTCTGACATATGTCTTTCAATTCAATCGGCTTCATGTAATATTGTGTGATTTCCTCAACTCAGAATTTATCAAGCGCAATGTTATTATGCTAGAGCTGTACCTAGTGAAAGCGTTCACAGTGTGAAGTGCACATTATTTATTAACACTGTACTTGTTCTCTGCTAGACAGAACTCTGAGCTTAATCTGAACCTCTAATTTACACACGACACAAGCTTCACTTTACGCAGCTGCCCAACACACTTTAAATCTGCAGCCCAGCCGCCACAACCGAGCTCCAACTTCTCTCGATAACCCGGACAAGATCGAATTCGAGGCGAATATGCGCTGTGGGAGCTACTCAGTACGGCAGAGTCCATGACGTCCAAAAAGCATATGCGACAGCCTCAGAAACATCTTTGTAGCAGCTTTCTCACAGCAATTGCTGCTGCCTAGCCTTCTTCTACGGCTCTCTTTTCTCCTTCTCTTCTCTTCTCAATTCATACACAAACCTCAGGCCTCTCCAACGCCTCGCGATGGCCCGTCCGCCCTCCATGTTTCACGCTTTCTTGCGACCCTCGATCCTGCAAGTTCTTCGCGCGACGGGCTACCATAGTACGCGCCCCGCGGTTCTCGACACATTGACCGATATCGCGGCACGCTATTTAGCACTCCTATGCGAAAAAACGGCAAGAAATGCCATGAATAACCACGGCGATGCGGGAGACTACGATATTGTGGACGTCAGAATGGCGCTGCAAGAGGCCGGAGCTCTGCTACCTGAGAGGACCGAAACAGAACAGCTCTGGAAGGGAGAAGAAGATCTGAGAGGGGTGGAGGAGTTTATAGAGTGGTTCTCTGGGACGCGCATGAAGGAGATGATGGAGATGGGTAGCGGAGATACTGAATCAGATGCTACCGACTATCTGGCAGGTAAGAAAAAAAAAGCACATGATGGCGAGGATAACGAAAGAAACGAAACTGAGCACATCTTCTCTTTTTTATACATCTGGCTAACACACTCTGCTTTTATAGCCTTGAAAAAGAAACATAGCAAAACCGGCGACGATGCCAAATGGCAGGGCACAATCTTTGGCAAAAACACAGACGGCAACGAAATCCTCGTAGAAGGCGGTTCCATAACCAGCATAAGCGAATGGATATCTCAGCAAGCTCCCGATTTACCAACACCACGAGCGTCAATAGAAAAAGACGAAGAAGGGGACGAAAAGCAGTCGCAACAAAACGGAGACGAGCCTATGACTGTGGAAATGAGAAGGGCTTCGAGTTCAGGTCTTAGTTCAGTTGGCGATAGGCTGGGCGAAGACGGCATCGAGGATATGGATCTGACGTAGGAGTCAGGACATCGTATTGTCGATGTGGCAGCAGCGCCGCTGGCAAAGTCTGCAAGCACGGAAAGTCGAGGAAGGAGAGTGACCATTGTGCTTCATGGGTGATTTGACTTGTGTCATGAAAGCTGGGTTCGGATTTTCGGTGAGAAATGGGGGGGGGAAAGGAAGGGAAGAGCAAGAAAAAGAAATTAATTATCTGAGGAAGAGGCGTGAGACCAAAGGAAGGATACAGATTCAGCACATACTGCTTCTCTCCTCTCTCGTCTTTCACTGTTATTTTTGCATAGCGTTGGCGTTCCGGAAAGTCAAGGCAGGAGAGGGAGGATTTCGGTGGTGGGTTTCATGGGTATCTTAGACGAATAGCTTTAATACACAATAGATTGATTGCCAGCAGAAACTATCTAGAGTGATGGTAACCTGATTTAATGCGATCAAGGTCACAAAATGTAGAAGTTCCTTTTTTATGCGTTAAGAGGTATTTGTAGCAATGCTATGGTACAGTAAATTTTGTCTATATCCTAGTAACCCGCCTGTCCTTGGAGATGGCCTTTCCAGTCATTCATCATATATCTAATGTACAATCTATAGATTTATCATTCATACACACCTCACTCATCCCCTACCAGCACCCCCTTTCAGCCCCAGCAACTCAAGTGCTCCCATTTGCTTCGCCACCTCCATAAATATCTCCCGTTTTTCCTCCTCGTTACCCTTTGCGGGCCAAAACTTCTTCTGCAAGAACGCATATAACGCAGCGCCACGATTCTCGTCGCCTTCTAGGCTCGCCCCGTTGGAATCCGCCCAGGTTCGCAGCTCGCCGTCAATCCCTCGCTTAGCCCTCATCAGCTTGCTGCGTTGAGAAGGCGTGTCCAAGGAGAGCTTAGTGGTACCGAGGACCATTTCCATGACGAGCGTCTCAGGAGGGAGGAATCGAAACGACTCCTTAAACACGGCTAGGGCAACGAGAAAGCCTGCGTTGTCCTGGAGGCGGCGGAAAGTGTGGAGGATTTTGCGAGCCAGTTGCCCATCAATGCCATCGGGCTGAAACACGTCCTTGTGCTTGACGGTTTCTTTAAACATGGCTCGTGTCGCCTCGGCCTCCTTTCTTTGCGTCTCGGGCTCCATTATCATGTGATATCGATTCGCCCCAATCGTCTTCCAAAGCGCGCTGAACGTATATGGATCAGGCACGACTTTGCTGTTCTCTATGAGAGAGTGGTAGAGAGCCAGTGCTTCTTGGGGCTGACCCTCCTGAATAAGCGACTCGAGAAGCTGGTTCATCATGAAAGCGTCGGGGCTAATCTGCGCTTCACGGAAGGCATTCCACAAGGTCTCCAAACGTTCATGAAGATTTCGCATGCGGTAGTTTTCGGCAAGAAGAGAGAAGGTTTCGATAGTAGCACGTGGCATATTCATTAGAGTTGCTTCCGGTGATGATGCGTCATTGCTGTTGGAGCCCTCACCGTGAGATTTTCTGAGAGCGACAAACTTAAGTCTAGATCCGACCATCTGCCATCCCAGGGCATCGGCCTTTTCAAAATTCTCAGCACTGCCTGACCGTTGCCAAGCGCCAATAAGGCCATTAAGTTGTATCGGTGACGCCTCGACGCCCTTTCCTCTCATGAACTCGACCACGCTGAAAGCACCATCCAAGTCGCCAGCGCCGATTAGTCGCTTCAGCCATTTGCCTAGGAAGAATTTGTTCGCAATGGACGAAGGCATATACTTTTGACTCATCAGATCGATCTGACCCTCGCTCATCATGTCCACAAAGGCATACAAGGCATTCTCAACTTGGTGAGCAGTCAAGAAACATGCGACTACTTGGTCATAGTCTGAGAGCCCCATATCCTTTCCTAAAAGCTGTCTCATTTGGCGATAGGCAGCCCATGCCTTTTGTTTGCCTTCTTCGGTTCCCTGATTGCAGCAAGTCCGGATAAGCGGTAGCAAGATACGTGGACTCATGTCACGGCTGAGGAGCTTATTGATTGCTCTCTCCGCTTGGCCTAAATCGCCTACACGGCAGTATATTCTTGCACCAAGCTCCCAAAAGTTTTGAAACGTCGCTGAATCTTCGGCCCCCAACGTGCTTATAGACCGCCTCCAGTTCTCCATGGCCTTGGACTCCCATCCGTCGACAAAGATGGCTTCGATAGCGAGGACCTGCTGCGCAGGGTCAAGCGTAGCCCCAGCATCGCTCATATCCCTAGCCAGAACGGCAATACGTGATAAGCTATTGGCGCTGTCTTTTGAACTCGAGAATGCTCTCCAGAGGACCTGCCACAAAGCAGGGGGAACATCGCTCCAATTTTGAGCCAAGGCTAATCTCGTCGAGTGGTATGCTTTGTATAATGACTGTACTGCTTTTGGCTTCAAGCCTGATTCCTTCTCCGCAAGAGCAAATCGCGAGAGGATAGAATTGAATTTGGTAAGTTTTCGGCGCCGATTGGTCGTTATCTCATCCGGGTTTATCAGGACCTGCGGTATAGAGTTTCGATGTCCACCAGAGGATGTACCCTCTTCCAATGATAGCTCCGGCACATCCCCAACGAGTTGCTCCAACACTCCCCTAGGAAGATTAGTGCTTTCTTCCTTTATCCTATCGTCGATCGACCGTGCGTAGACTTCCAATTTCGCTATGAGTTTCTCAACATCGTCCGCAGAGCGGGCCTTGCCCCAGTCGCCCCCCATCTCTTTCAGAACCTCTCCAAAGGCATCTCTCTCTTCTGGGTTGCGAAGCCCTCTCCCTAGGTTTAAGAGATTGTCTCGCAATTCGGCAGTTTCAGTTCCACTTAGAGATTCCTCAAAGGCGTGTTCACTGGACAATTCCTTCCGGCTTCGATCGCCCTGCTCGAAGAATCGGACGGAAAAGTCGTCTTCATTGCTCTGCTTCTTTTCCGAGGTCTGCAGTCTTTTTAGGCCCTCCAAGTAGCCAGCCAGTTCAGCCTGAGTCGGTTGTCGAGTGATGTCCGCATTAGGTCGTGATTGAGATTGGGGTCGCAGTCTTGTCCTGCTCACTGTTCTAGAGGCCTGAGAGCTGTATGAAGCAGCCCACCAGGCCTGCACCGGCTGCTTTGCGCGGCCAGCCAAACATGAGCGGCAGACGATGTCATTTCGACATCGAAGGTCACGAAGTATCGGTCGACATGACATACTTTGGAGAGTCCAGTAGAGCGTGGTGCATCCGGCACTCGCTCGTTTGAGCGCTTCGAAACTTTTTTCCAGGTTGATGGTCAAGATTCTTGCGACTGCTATGCTACTGGTGGATTTGCTGCCCACCATGTTGTTATCGATAAGAAATGCTAGTCGCAGGAAAGGTACTTTGCGCTTTAGCACAACGCAGTGCACGGCCAAGTACTACTTTCCGCTAACCTGGATCGTTTTCTCAGACATGAATTTACACTTACACGCCTTCTTGTTGGCATTGTCTTTCACCACGCTGTAGATCTTTGTTGGTGAGTGGCCAATCAAAGACAAGATGTCACTTTGACTGTTCCAGGGTCATTCTCGTACAGATTCATGTGGATTAAGTAGATGGCTCAATCATACACTACATCATAGACTCTCAACCATGCGATTCAGAGTCAATAGGCCTAGATGGTAATTGCAAGGGTATGCCTCGTGAGGACTACAGGCTCTTTACAACGGCTATATTGGCCTTTAATAGCGTTGCATTAGTCGCGAGTCTTATGCATCCCCATATTGATTATGGGATACTAGTAACGGGCGTCGCTATCTCACAGCATGCAATCTATTTGTTTGACAGTACTTATTATTTATTGTTACACTGAGCTCATTCTGTCTGCCGGCCTAACTCCACGGCTGTACAATTGATTGAAACTCCGATGCGCGAGGCATCCTGAGGGGAAGATACGCAAATGCAATCAAGACTTTGAGGACGAATCCGTCGATGCGAGAGGTACACAAATAGTTAGAATATGACATATAGGGTTACAAATTATTTGGCATTCCTCCCAAGTGTACTAATTGCGATGTACGGTTAGACGAGATATAGGCATAGAGACGGTCGGAGGCTCGGATGAACTAACCTATGGAAGAGCTGGCCAAAGATGCCCGGCTTGGACTGTTGGTCGGTCATGCTCTGGCGCCGAGCGCTGTTGTTGGCATTTTGATGATGTTGGGAAAGGCCCTCAAATGCAGGCATGAAGCCAGAGCTCTAAATGATTGGCACTGTCAGCGGTGTGTTCGGTGGGGTTGCGGTGAGCGGGGTGAGAGACTCACTCGACGGCGGGTGCTGCCCTGATTTGGTGTAGGGTTCTGGGTCTGCTCGGGATTGTTCATGATGGCTAGTGGTACAGGTGCCGATGGCTATGATTGAATGGTGATACAGTCTTTCAAGATAATAAATTTCGAATGAAATGGAATGATTCGAACAGTGATAAAGAGGAGAGAGAACAGACGGGAGGGGAAGCTCCTTAAGTAGTTATAGCTCCCATGAGAGAAGACAACGACAGCCGCCAGCCGGGACAAGCTTTCTGACCATTTGCCGGAGAACCAATGGCGCCGGCCAATGGAAGTACCGGCTCACCACACCAGAATGACACACGCACGTCGAGCTCGATTGGCACTACCATATGTCGACTTGTGGCGGGAGTCTCGATCGGCGCTAGGACGGTGTTCCATGTAAACCTCAGCCCATTTCACAGCGAGGGAGAGGCCGATCGATGCCCAAACAAAATGAGACCTGTTTCTGGTCCCGGAGATCGAGGAACGGTTGAGTCAGCTACGACAAATTGTTCGATATTTGTTTATATAAGGCATAAATGCGTGCACGAGACCATGATTGCCGGCAGTTGCATACAGTATTCATCTACCAAGGCAGTATTAAGATGGGGTATATTGATCAATTAGCACTACAAAAACGAGTATCAGTACATATCCCCAGTACGCAGCCCGCATTGACACCGAATCCTTCAAGATCGAGAGCCAATGTCTCATCTATTGAGGGGGGAACCACAGCGAACGTGGAACCACATACTGGCACAAGCAACGGCCCTGTAGGCATCTCGCCATGTGTTTGTAATCGGCATCCTTCCCCTGCCCAACTCCTCTTTGTGGCGCCTTCGACCATAGCGTCATCGTTCCGTGACGTCGTGGGCTGCCAGCTCGGGCGAGTACAAAGACCATCATTCCTGGTTGTTGTCATTTGCGGTTGCCGATGTACATGTACCGGTCCGCATGGAGTTGCGTGGGGCAGACGAGACCCTGTTTTGCGGGGGAGGGCCTGCCGTCGGCAGCGGAGTACGTACCGAAGGCCCCGCAGAGCTGGCGGCCGGATTTAGTGTTGATCCTGAGCAGTGGTTGAGATAAGCCACCAGGAACCCCTTGTGTGACGAATAAGCTGCCTGTCCATGACTCCACCATCCGTCGAAGTGCTCAATAGGCGCGCGACCATCACGCACTGCTTGCTACTAGCCAGACTTTGTAGCTATCTGGCATTCCTTCTACTATTCACGCCTGGCGGTCCACAAATCCTGAGACCCTGACGACGATAGAGATTGCTTGGCTGCTTTCTTTTTCCAAGCTCGAGCCATCTCTGGGCCTGCTTCGATGCAGAGCAAGCCCCTCAGTTGAGCCGGATGATGATAGGCGACTATGAACAATGATGCCGCGCCTACCTCTTCCGCGCGGATTCCCGACCGGCTCTCACCACCTGCCATCGGACCCAACAACGACACCAACGATGCGGAAGCAGACGCCGACGGCCGTTCTCGGTCACGGCAGCGCTCGAGGTCTAGCAATGGCCGGCAGCATAAGAGGAGGAGCAAGAAGAAGCAGAATCCAGGACTAGCCAAGAAGCTTGGATTTCTCACACATTTGCTCAAGACACTCGATCTTGTCATTTTTGCCGAACTGAGCTCTATGTACTATATGGAGTGCGTTGACATACCTTCCTCTCTCTCGCTATTCCCAAATGACCCTCATTGGCTTCGTTTAGGAGGAAATCACACGCTAATCCGACTCCTTGTGATATAGATGCTCCATGCTCAAATTCATCCTGCGCGCCATACCGCAATACATGTATCTCTCCCCTAAAGACGAATCCTTCGCTCTACTCATGCCGGCCACTCATATACACGTTCTTGTGATACTAGTGCCTAATCTACTCTGCATGCTGTCGCATCTCTTTGAATCACTTCCTCTGGGACCAGAGTATCATCGAGGATATCAACATGGGGGGATGATTATCGATTTCGTCGGGCAAATGCCTTCCAGCTATAGACTATATTATCTATTGTTCGATTTGGTCATCCTTGCTATCCAATCTCTGATGCTTTCGATTCACAATCAACGAGAGGGCTTACGAGTTGCACTCAAGACATTCCGCCCACTCTCCAATCGAGTCCTGGAACCTATCCCAGGGCGCTCTCCCGAAGATTTAGACGCAGAAGAGCGAGGAGTTTCACGACATGAATCGGGCGTGACGGTTACCGAGACGGATGAGATTGAGCTTCAGCAGTTTGATAGACAGGGGAATGGTGAAGGAAATGGCGAAGGAACAGATGAACGCTACGACCGCTCAGAGCAGCTACAGGCTGCTACCGGGGATAATTCGAACGACGAATCACTGAGAACACATTTATCCGATATCATGAGCTCAGGCAACGCCGTGCTTAACGAATATCATGTAGTCCATACAATGAAAACCGCCTTGATGAAGACTGGAGGCTCAACTGCCTTGTCTCTGCAGGCTATTGGTTATCGGGCAACTATGGCGAGAATACGGACTCGACGTCGAGGCGCTACTCTTCGGAATCAAATAACTCGCCCTAGCAACTAGGGCATGTATGTACATATTAATATATACCTACGGAACGGGTAATTCAACTGTTGTCAACTCAAAGTCTCCACCGACTCGCTAGATTTCGCTGTAATCGTCGCCAAATGCTAAAGCAAGATAAAGGGGACATGACATCTTTTACTCTTGATCAATTTATTTAGCTTAGGCGACTTTCCTCCCCACATTACCGACACCAGTGCCCTTGACGGAAACGATGATATCACCGCTGTCGTCTTCCTCCACGTCTCGCAGCCCCCAGCTACTTGCGCCAAACGTCTTGAGATCTCTTGCAAGCTCAACCAATTCCTCCGTACCAAGGATATCTCTGCCGATTCTTAATCTGCCAACATCTTCGGAACCCATAGCCATCAGGGTAAGCACGGAGCCTGCTGATACGGGTGTTACGCAGCCGCCCTTTGCGATGGTCTCTAGCAGCTGGTAGGCGCATCTCTTGCCAATATCTTCCGGGACCTCTCCACCAGAAGGCAACACGACGACGTCAGCAGAGTATATGACACCCACGGAGCTGGATTCTGCCACCAAACTCAGGCCATATCCAATGCCCAGTCTTCGCTTGCTACCTGCCTTATCTCCTGTAGGCACCAAGGGAGCCTGGTCGTACTGTGCCGCGATGTGGATGTCCGTGACGAACGGGTTTAGGATCTCGCGGGCGGAATGTATCATGCGAGCGTTATTTGAGGCAGAGACACCAGTGCAGTACGCAACTCCTCGTATCTTCCTTACTCGGCCGGGACTTCGGTTGAGATGCAGCGTCTTGGGCAAACGAACTTGACTGGCGAAGCGGAGCTCGACAATGCCGCCGCCGCCTTTACCGCCGGGACCAGCGCAGGAGCGCTGCAGGACTCGGAGCTCAATTCGTGCGGGTGGAATGCCGAACAGGCCGAAGAGAGGGAGGATGGCAGTACGGAACGTGTCGACCGAGACGTCGCCCGTTTCGGTAGAGGATGTGATGACGCCGGGGCCGGAAAACCGCACGTTCATGTGCGCCTTTGAAAAGGGCGCAAGCAGACACAGCGGCAGCAGGAAGTAGGTGATGCCCCTCGTGCAGGTGACGGGGATGCTGTGCTCGATGACGTCGCCCTCGGCGGCGCCCAGGCCGGCGATTGTGCCCGTGATGAGGCCCGGGTGGTATGTGATTGTGGTACCGCTGTACGAGATTTGCATGGAGCTGCCGTTGGTGACGGCCTCGAGCAGGCGCAGGAAGGAGACCTCATGGGGCGCGAGGCCCGGGTTCGTGGGCGAGGAGCTTCGGATGTTGGAGATGTGAATGGGACGGCCGGTTAAGGTCGAGATGGTGAGGCGCCGGGTGAAGGACCGGTGGCCGGTGAAGCGGAGGTATTCAGGCGAGGAGCCCGACATTTTCCTTTTTCTTGTTGACTATCTATTCTTCGTTTGGTAGTAAGGATTGAAATAATTTCCTCTCTTGATTTCGGTGGAATGGTGGCGACAAAAAGATCCGGGGGTATAATTAATATTGTATCTTTTTTTTATCGCAAGTTTTTTGGTGTTTGGCTGGAGTTGGAGGAAAATTATTGTTTTCTGCCGGCGGATTGATTTTCAGTGGCTAGGAAGAGTAGGCGGTGGACGAATCTGGGATAGCGCAAAACAGCACCCACTCATCGCTGGTGAATATCAAGAGCAGTCTGTCAGAGGCCAATCAAACTAAGGGAGCATTAAGATGTATAAGTTCGTATTTTAAGTGTCGAAGTTCAAAGTTCATTTTTCAACAGAAAGTACGAAAGCTACATGCAAAAACCTCGAATTGACAGCCCCCCATCCGTATATACAACGCCAACAATGCTCCAATGCGCAATTGTACCAGGATCTTCTAGTCTAAGCCTTCGTCAAAGAATTCCGATCTAAGCCCTTTGAGCAGTCGAGAATGAATTTGCAAAAGACTTTTATTAAATCAACGCCGTGCTTGAAGTCGCCATTTTTCTATGCCTTGACCATGAAGATCTAGTTTTTTGTTAGTAAATCAGCCCTTTAGAGAAAAACAGACAACAAGTTTAATCACCTGTTTTAATGCTTGGGTATCCGCGAAAGCAGCTCGCTTCTGGGCAATGAATCGTGCTCTGGAAAAGTTGCGGCTCAATGGTGTTGATGTGCCTGTGCTGATCGGAGTAGCCGTCCCGGAACGCGATTGTGAGGGAGCCGCATCGGGCATCTCTGTGTCGGATGTGTCTGCATCCTTCTTTTTCTTCTTCTTCTTATCCTTGTCCTTCTTTTCTTTCTTCTCCTTCTTCTCTTTTTTATCCTTCTTCGAGCTCTTCACCTTCTCTGAGCCGCTATTTGACGATGATGGATTCTCCACTGTGTCGTCTGATTCTGCAGCATCTTCACTGGCCTCCTTGTCGGCTAGGGCCTTGTCTTTCTTCGACTTCTTCTTTTCCTTCTTCTCTTTCTTCTCCTTCTTTTCTCTCTTCCTCTCCTTCTTCTTGGCCTTTTCTGAGTCGCTGGTTTCGGCAGACTCGGGTTTTGCCAACTTCTTAGCCTTTCGCTCTTCCTTTCGCTGCTTCTTCTTCTTCTTCTCGTCTTCCTCGTCTTCTGACTGCTCCTCGTCGTCTTTCAGAGATTCAGCCTTTCTCTTCTTAGATTTGGACTTTTTGTTGTCTGCTTCGGAAGAGCTCTCTGATTCATCCGAATTGTCTTTCGGCTTGTCATTCCCATCTTCCATAACGTCGCCAACTAGCAGACCTCCTCGCACAAATCTCATTGGACCCCATTTCTGCTCCACATAGGCGTGCATCTTGACTTGCAGTCTGGCTTGCTGCTTCTCTTCCACTTCGGCTTCGGATTTTCCGTTCAGACGGCTCAATAAATCGGAGAAGACGTCGAGACCGGTGACTTCGTCCTCCTTGGATTTGCTATAGCCGAGACCCTTCATGTCATCTTTGAGCGAGACTCGGATGTACGACGCATTCGCAGCGGTGTGGAATTCAGAGTGTGCTGAGTCTTTGGCTCCCAAGAACTGACCAGGTTCCCAGCCCTGCGATCTCAGCATCTTCTGGCCGAACGTGGTGGTGTCGCGAGTCCATCTTGTGTTGTTGGGATCGTGCTGGATTTTCCGGCGCCTGAATTGTTATTAGCGACTGTTTTCGACAATCACTTCGTCCGTAATAATCTTACGTCCTCGACTCAGCAAGTAGCCCCATTGTGTTGACTTTGTGGGAGAGCAGACGGCTCTCTTCGCTATTCTGTTTGTTAGAAATGTATGATTCTGCGCACTCAAGCCTCGAAACTGATTGCGAAGATTGGGCTGGCAAAAAATATTAAAGCGGGGCATCTGCCCTTATCGTGCGCTGTAATTGGATGGAGAAGCAAGTGCTGTCTGGCTTGGCCAAAATAGGCTTAAACGAGCCTTAAGAATGTCGAGGGCGGCGGGAGTGCCCCTGTAAATCCTCGCTAACATCGTGGTTATGTGCGGGAATAGTTAAACCTTGAATCCTTCCGAATGCAAGATGAACTTGTGTAAACATTTTCTGTTCATTCTTTGCTCATAATACATGCCTTCTTTAGACAGAAATCTATTATGATTCTATGATAGTCGCTGAGGTACTGTGATTTGTAGTAAAACACATGTGTACTTCGAGCGGGCATCAAGCTCACCAAGTAGTCACATCAGCAAAATGCATCAACCTTCACAGCACTTTAACCTACCCCGAGGCCTTGCCATCTAGAAAGATTCATGGCGGGCCTGTATTGGGTACTACTGCAGCCTGAATTATACAGTAAGGCACCGCCGATCGCCAAACTCTTCACAGCAATTTTTTTCTACCCCGAGGCCATGCCACTTAAAAGCCTTTGTAGCTCTATCATATTACTAAGATTTCGTGAAATTTGGCTATAAGATCATCTACCCATTGACAATGGCAAAGAATACTCGTAACGCAAAGCTAGCTAATTAATTTTTTTGGGTCCTCGATATGCTCGTCACATTGTTGGAAGCCTTTGACGGAGATTGACTCGCAACTCTAAAGGAGAAATGTCACCAAGGTGGGTAGGTGTAATAGCTTTTCTGGGCCCGTCCAAGGAGGCTGAAACTGATACGCAGGCAAACGGTTCCACGCAAGTCACGGTAGACACGTAATGACGAACACCAACGCGTCCCTGGCCAAAGGAGTTCAAATGCCCGATGCCCGTGATGGCGAAGCCTATACATTTCATTTTGAGTTGCTAAGCTTAACCCACAGACTGCAACGGCTTGAATGGATACAAGATGGATAGAAACCACTGAGGTAATCCTCCGATGGCTGAGAGAGGATTCCTCATAGAGTCGTGCCGCCGGTACTAAACCGCCGTTGCGTATTACGTGCCCCGTACGCGTATCTCGGCATTGCTTTACGATGGAGTCGCCATTTAGACGATCCCGCATAAGGTGAGGGTCCAGAGAGTGGTACTAGTATTACACGTAACAGTGCATTTTACCTACTCCAAATCACATATTGAGATAAAGAATTATTGCTCTTATCAGTAGCTATGGAAATTGTATGTGCATGTGAAAGATATAATCATCCTCGTCATGCGCCTGAATTTCTCGTGGCTTTTCTACAATCAGTCATTCTTCAGCGCCCTTTGTTCTGGGGTTCGCACGGCATGCGTCAAAGACGCGCTTTAATAGGACAATCTGCAAAAGCGCCGATCTCTTAGCGGGCCTACAGGGGGGGGAGCCGCATTTGATGTTCACGCGCCTGGGCTCCCTAGCAAAGGAGAGAGAAAAGAGAGAATAACGCTCGACTCGCTGCTGACCCGCTCTCGAAACTGGCTGTCGTCCATTGGGCTTCACATGCCGGTCCGTGTGGCCTTTGGGTTGGTCCAGAAGTCTTCGCCGTTGCTACTTAGTATGTAGCAAGCGAGCGGCGCTAAAGCCGAGATTAAGACTGGAGCCTGAGTCTGAATATTGAATCCAAGGAACTGCCATGTGCTTGTAGAATTAGGTGGCTGTGGACTAGATAAATATCGAAGAAATGCAGGCGGTAGGGGTTGTTTCCCTGGAGTGACATCAATATTTGACCGCTAAAAGGGGAACTCTACTTGCTCAGCTTGGATTTCTGCTTCAAGTCGCATAAGAAGTGTTCATGTAGTTCCATATTAAGCATAATATCTAGGATTACAGATGCTGTCCAAATACCCTGTCTTTTCTATCGTAGTTTCCTTGAAATCACATAGCCATCCTAGAAAAGCTTCTTTTGTCTAGGTATCGAAGCGTGTTCTTCAATCCCGGCATAATCCTCCAAAATGACATATTGTCTCACGTCATAGCTGCGGCTTAGCATCTTTCCATCATCAAGAGTTGGCTGTCTTGCACTTTACAGAAAATGAATTCCGATTTCCGGAACAATAATGCTCATATCACGGAGACGGAGTATGTACTTTGTACAGACATGTGCGTATTCCCGGCTTTCGACACAGTTCCCACCTGGTCTCGTTGTGGGTAGCCACAATAACAATCGCGCGGCTTCTAGTCTGTGGGTAAATGACATACTACTGTTTAGAGCTTTTGAGTAGTGGTGCGGGATTTGAACAAATATGTATATCCGTCTCCTGAGAGCTCTGCCAAGGGTATTGCTACAAATCCCGTGTTGTTGGAGGCTGTACAGCTCCATCTTTACGCTACTCTCAGCCTCTCTTCAGCAGTAAAGGATCAACATCCCAAAGCGCTCTCAGATACGACTAAACACAACAAAAGCTAATTATGAGATACATAGATGAAATAGAGGCATTCTTCATGATCTACACCGCGCGCTGCCTCTACCGAAAGAAGCTTAGCAAATGCAAACCACTCGGTAGATAGCCAAGTGCACAGCTAGCCTGATACTAAATAGGTAACTTGGGATCATGAGCACAACAAAGAGGCTCCGGGGTCCGTATGGGGGCCCAGCATCTCAGCGAATCTGATTGCTTCTATTCATACGCGTGTTCGTAGACGCAACTAGCTCCTATCATATCCTACCTTGTCTGCTGTATGCCTGCTAGTGACTGATGGATACTAGCAGGAAAAGAAGCCATCGCCATAAACGTATGCGCTCGTGGCTTGTAATGGTGGGATAACGGCAACCCCTATCCCTGATCAATACTTGTCTTGGCCATGCCATGGATCTGTATTTACATGTATCTCATAATAAACCGTTCTGGCTCTTGGTGTGGATCCTCCAACTCACACCCTGGATTCAGGCCTCCATGTCCATGATTTTCCAGCTGATAATGACTCGAGCTGGGGTCCCTTAATGGCTGATCTCTCCATAACTTTTCCTCTTTTATTCCGTCTCTTTCCTCACGATTTCTGCTCTCTTCTTCTCACATCTTTGGATCTGGCATTTATGACAGTCTCCTAGTTGTAAGCTGCCTTTCTGAAGCTTCAACTTTCTCCGGGTATTCCTTGGGTCTCCTTTTTCTATATATATATATATCCGCCTCTTTGCTTTTCTTCTGTTGCTTGAAAATCAGCAGCAGAAACAATGGGTTTCTTGACCTGGTGCTCTCGCTGCGCAGGGGGCTTGAGCATGTTGGCATTGGTCGGCCTTTCGTACTATGTTATAACTCGAGAGTCAGTCATTGAAAACTACGGATTCATCTTATACAAAGGTGCAAGTACCACAGATGGAAGCCATTCGTCAAAAACTACCGCCGTCGGTGCTGGTATTTGGACTGTAGTCTTCGCTTATTATTGCCTCTTGATTCATTTCATGGTTGCACTGTTCCCTATTCGAGCTTGTTGGTCCATTTGGAGCATTACAAAGTCACTTAGACAATCTGCACAAAGCAAAGCCGTTCAAAATTACAAGGCCGCAGGCCTTCGCCGCCAAAGTTCTGCGTCTTCGATTACTAGCTCCGAGACTTTATCTTCCAGCGATAGCGACAATGTCTTTTCGACGGCAAGCGAGCTCACTGATTCCGAATCCGAACTTTTCACCGAAAGCAAAGATGGCATTCAGAGCGGCCCTATCATCCACGCCATCGTCATCCCCAACTACAAGGAGGAAGTGGAAACTCTCAGAGAGACTCTAGACGTCTTGGCTTCTCACCCTCAAGCCCAAAGTTGCTACGATGTAAGTTGAAGCAAACTTCTTAGTCACTCACTTGTTACTGCGCTTGGAGTCGATGACTGGCGGCGTAGAGTAGATGCTAATTGGCCATGCGCTGCTTCAAGGTCTACCTTGGTATGGAACTACGAGAGACTGGCGGCGAAGCAAAGGCTTTGAGTCTCGTCCACCGTTATATTCAAAAGTTTCGAACCATTGATTATACGCTGCATCCGGCAGATATTCCCGGCGAAGCTGCCGGCAAGGGCAGCAACTTGGCTTGGGCGGCGCGCAAGCTCAGTTCCAGCTATAGCATGTCCGTCCGCAAGAATGTCATTGTTACCGGAATCGATGGTAAATTATAACTATCTAATATCGGCACTTATTTTATACGCTGGAATGTTTGTACTAATCATTCATACAGCTGACAGCCACCTTTCACCGCGATACTTTGCCCAAATCTCCAACATGCATACTGTCCATCCAGAGACTGCTTCCACCACTCTGTATGCCGCCCCTATAATCTTCGACCGAAATGCCCACAACGTCAATGCATTTGTTCGCGTTGCCGATATTCTCTGGTGCGCCGCCGGAATGTCTGGCCTTTATAGCCGCTCTGTCATTGGTCCTCCCACCTCTGTATACTCCCTGCCTCTTCAGCTTGTTGATCGTGTCGGCGGCTGGGACTGTGACTCCGATGCCATTGGAGAAGACTTGCACATGTTTATCAAATGCTTCTTTGCTCTGAATGGACACCTTACCTGCCGCACGGTGCTCAGCCCCGTTAGTCAGACCAACGTATCTGGAGGTGGGAAAGGCGGCTTTCGAGGCGCTCTCATGGACGTCAAGGCTCGTTATAAGCAGGCAATTCGACACATGTGGGGAGCCTTAGACAGCGGATTCGCGATGCGTAAGGCGTCTGGGATGTGGAAAGACAGAAAATACACCTCCAGAGCTTTCCGCCCCTTGCACAAGACTTGTCGTGGCGATACCCTTGACGGATATTTCCCCGAGGCTCAGCTTGAGTCAGGCTCAGAGGTTGCCGCCGAGACTGACGAATTCTCTGATATCACGAGAGACACGTTGAAAGAGCCTCATTGGGAACACATTTTCTACATGGCTCACCGTCTGTTCGAAGCACACTTTCTCCCTCTTCACATGATGATCCTGGTAGTCGCATCTGCTCTGTACGCATGTGTTACAAAGGGTGGCGAAGATCCCAACAATCTATCGTGGGTCTTTGCGGCTTGCAATGTCCTTCGGCCCCTTGGTCTCTTGGAGATTGCCGTCTATATGCTCATCTACGAGAGCTACCACCGCGTTTGTGTGCGCGCTCGTGAAAGGGACATGACCCAAGCTGGGTTAGCCGATGGCATGTGCTTTTCTCATCGCTCTCTGAAGCAGAACTGCATCGATTACTTTCTGGTTCCCGCGGTTGCTCTTTTATACGGCACCTTGCCATGCGCCCAGGCGGAAATATCGCACTTTTGGACAACGGACTTGGAATACACTGTTAGCAAGAAAGCTGTACGACAGCGAGCCAAATCTGTGACGGTTGAAGATGTTGTTTGAGCGTTGTATAATGATTTTATTCTGGAATGTTTGCCTGGCAATCTGCGTTATGTGTCAGTATTGGGCAAAGTCTCTACAAGTATGCAAGTGATGTTTTGTCAAATTCATTGACAGATTGACGAAAGAAGGAGCGTGGAGTTTAATGGGTATATGCGCCAACTTGGTCTCATGTTTTTACATGATGGAAAGGAATAACAATAATTTACATAATCCGACAACTGAACATTATATCTGCTTGATGCAAAGACTCAATATAGCATATATCACTCTTGAACAGATAGAAAATGCCCTAGAATGAGAGCAAGACATTTGGGAAAGATACCCAATAAACGATCTTTTGATCGGATGTGTATCTTGGATTATGAGATATCCCTCGACGAATTTCATTGCTAAATTAAGTATGCTGTTAATCAAAATTTGGAGCGCAAAGAGCGCAAAACGTCTTTTATTTTAAAATCTCCAACTGGATGCAACTATGGCGTGCAGAGTTGGAGTTTAGTGGGGCCTGAGAGTCTGGCGACGAAACAGGTGCGAATCTAACGCCTCAGCCAATCAATAAACGACGGTGCCTGGATACGCGAGGTATGCTTTACTGCACCATCTGATTAGTTCTTGTAAGGAGAGAGGCGATACGAAGCCCGGATTACGTTCACAAATGCAGATACCCAGTGCGCATAGTGGTGAGAGAGAGACTTGGTGGACATTGGAAAGTAAGAGAGAGTCATAACTTGGTATTGTGCAAGAATACAGTAATCTTGCTCATTGATGCGGTTCTGATTTTCCGGAAACCTTTTTTTTTTTTCAGAGCCAAAGAAAAGGATTACTTATTCGAAGAAGGGACTGGTAAAGATATGCGCAAGTCCCAATCATTAGTCTAGAGTGAGTATGGAGTTTTTATCTGTGGCAGAACACAGGTAATATCAACTTATATACCGCGAAAAAAGGAACATGAGTTTCTCCAAGACAAACATAGTAGTAAAAGCAGTAGAGTAGCGAATTGATGGTATACAAAGCTGTTTAAAGGGATTGCATGGTGCGCATGAGACTCACATAGAATGCAGAAAGTGATCTCATTGCCAACTGGCGCCGAGTAGAAGATTTATGCGCAAATTAAGTCAGCATGACATCTTTTTATGGTGAGAAGATTGGAACATTTATCTTAATGTCTACCTACATATCATGCCATGATTGGGTAATGAAATCACCAAGAAGTATAGAAGATGCGCAACCCATCTACTGTAAACACGCCTAGCTTTCGAATTTCCACAATCTGCTGAACGACGTAGAATGGCGTAGGGATCCGCTATCATGCATAAGCGGACCCACCTGGGCGGGGTTGGTTGCTGAGCCAGCGACACCGATATCGATAAGCGCCTTATCGTGTCATTCTATTGGCCAGCATCACTAAGTGGAGCAATCTGCGTTTGATGGCTGAACGGAGAAGAAAAAAAAAAGAACGACTAAGAAATTTTTTGAGCTTCTCGCCTCTTTTTTTTTTCTTTCCCTCGACGCGATCCTCCAACTCCGGAACAAGCAGAGCCACATTCTCTCAAGAGTTTCTTTCGTCGATTTCATTTTCAGCCTCTCTTTTGGACTACAATTATAATAGCAATCAACGAAATTTATTATTTCCATCACAATGGCTGCTGTTCCTGGTCCCGTCTATGGCCTTGAGGTCCCGGCCGGGGAGATCTTGATCCCGGCCAACTTGGAATTCCCTGCTTCTGTATGCTTCTTCTTCCCCCCCCCTTTGACTGCAACTTCTTTTGAGTGTTCTCAGTGAGATTGAGCTTTATGCGACATGAAGCGCCCATGCCACTGCTTGATCGAAACGATTCCACCAAAAGAAAGAGCAGCCATGGAAGAATCATGTAGTTTTGTCTGGTTAATGCTAACAATTGGTCTTTCATATCACAGTTCCGTATCACCATGGCCGCTTTGGACCCTACTGAGGAGCTCGAGGCTGATGGTTCCAAGAACGCCCCCGTCCCTCGGTCAACTCTGCGTCTGGTCAAGCGCGCTTTCTCCAGCTACAACGACGACGACTACGAGGAGGACGAGGACGATGAGCTTAGCGAGGAATACATGAGCGCTCTTCTTGGAGGCTCTGACGATGAGGATGACGAGGCCAATGGTGGCCCTAGCGACCTCTCCAAGGCTAAGAAGCAGAAGCAGGCTGCTGCCATCAAGAAGCTTCTGGAGGCCGCCAATGGCGTCGGCTCTGATGACGAGGAGATGGAGGATGCTGAGGCCAAGCCCAAGAAGGGCAAGAAGGCCGCTCCTAGCAAGGGCAAAGGCAAGGCTGTTGTGGAAGAGGAAGAAGACTCTGAGGAAGAGGAGGATGACGAGGAGGACGACGACGACAGCGAGGCCGGCGATCTTGAAAACTTCGTTGTCTGCACTCTCGATACTGAGCGGGTAAGCTTGATCGATTATGAGAGCCCCATCACTCGTCTGTTCTGGGGCGATGTTTGTCTAATTGTCATTCGTACGATATACTAACTTTCGATATAGAACTACCAGCAGCCTCTGGATATTACTGTTAACCAAGGCGAGAAGGTTTTCTTCGTTGTCTCAGGCACACACACTGTTTACCTCACTGGTAACTACATCATGGACGATATGGAGGGAGATGAAGATGAGGATGAAGATGACTACGACCTGTCTCCTGACGAGCTGGACTATGGCCTGGGTGAGGAGGAGAGCGAAGAGGAGAGCGACGACCTCGACGACCTTGAGGATCCTCGTGTCACCGAGGTCGACTCCGACGAGGAAGTCCCCAAGTTGGTTCCTACCGACAGCAAGAAGGGCAAGAACAAGCGTTCTGCCGAAGAAGCCGAGGGCCTTGACGAGCTGATCTCCAAGGCCTCCGAGTCAAAGCTTTCCAAGAAGCAGCAGAAGAAGCTCAAGAACAACAAGGGCGAGGCTGTTGCCACCGAGGAGAAGGATGAGGCCAAAAAGGACGCCAAAAAGGTCCAATTCGCCAAGAACCTCGAGCAGGGCCCCACTGGATCAACCAAGCCGGCCGGCAAGTCTTCTCTCGGTGTCAAGAATGTCCAGGGCGTTACCATTGATGACCGCACAATCGGCAAGGGCCGCACTGTCAAGAACGGCGACACCGTTGGTGTCCGCTACATTGGAAAGCTCCAGAACGGACAGCAGTTTGATGGTATGTTTCCTCCATGACTGCATTGTATTTTAGAAATGGCGGCTAACCTGATGTTCCTTTTAGCCAACAAGAAGGGCAAGCCCTTCTCCTTCAAGATCGGCAGAGGCCAAGTCATTAAGGGCTGGGACGTCGGTATTGTCGGCATGGCTATCGGCGGTGAACGACGACTGACCATCCCTGCTCACCTGGCTTACGGCTCTAAGAGCTTGCCTGGCATCCCTGCCAACAGCCAGCTGACTTTCGACGTCAAGCTCCTTGAGATCAAATAAATCAGAGTCAAAAGTGGATTTAAAACTTGGGACCGGCGTTGGATGATTTCTGCGGCTGCGTATATTATTTCTTCATCTCTACCCGAAGCTGGACATGGTTCAATATAATTTGGCGTTTCCTTTCAACTGCCGCTCGAGGACAAAAGCGCCTGGAGCCGCAGGCTGGTGTAAGAGGCGTGAGGGCCTGTGCGATGTCACACCCGACATGATATGCGAGTCCAGTTGGGATTAAAATGGCGAAGATCTCGGATTGTTTGAAAGTTGGGAACATTATGCGGAATGGGCAAATGCAGCCCTTGCATTATATACTGCAGCCGTTACTAAATATTATTAGGACGGCTATGCTATGGTTCGATAAAGGCGATTTAGACGCCTGTACCGTAAAATATAACACTATAAGGTCATCAGCATGCTTCTTATTGCACTCGTCTTTGCCTTTTGAATGTGGATGTGCCGTGCTCGATACCAATGGCCTTAATGATATCTATCACCTTGTTAGATAAACACGCTGAATGTCTAGATGCAGTTTCCTTATCGATTTGGCTCTCTTGCATTAATTGCGAACAGAGCGACCGAGAAATGTATAAAAAAGGAAAGAGCGTGTGATAGATAGTAGGCAGCGCCTTGTTTTATCTTCCACTGTTCTTCTCCAAAGCTTCCAACTCTCTTCATCTTCTATTCTCTTCCTTTCTACCCACCGCGTCTCCCGTCAATATTTGTGACGCCGGCCTTCGTTCATTCATTAATTGCTAGATCTTATAAGAACAAGAAAAAGAAAAATATTGCCCACAGAGTCTATCTTCATACTCTTTCCTTTCTTTTTATCCGGAAATAACCATTTTACAGAATGCTACCTCGGCATCACAATGGCCAACGAACTTATCCAGCATTGGACTCTGTTCCAAGCAGTCCGAATGAATCTTCCACCGCCTCGAATCAGCCTCCATCGGGTGGCATAGAAGGCCATCTAAGCTCCGACATCTTGAACCTTCATCGCAAGGGCTCAAAAGTATGGACTGAACTTCGGGGCAAGCTGATGGGAAGGGCGGGGAAGAACAGTCACGGTAATTCGGTCCCTTGCACTGCCCTCATGCGGCTTATAGCACGGTTGGTTCGGTGCTGATAGTTTTACAGGCTCAATAAATTCTGCTGCCCCTGACTGGTATCCAACCGAGGCTTTTCGGTCCTTGAATATCGGGAAAACAAATCCAGCCGGCGCCACTTCCAGCAACGATGCCTCGACACCACGAAAGATAACAGGGGTAAAGGTCTTCCCGGTGGCGAATGGTCTCATGCAAAAACTACGGCACAACAATCAAAAACTTTCTTCGCGCGGTGCTGTTACGGCCTACGGCTCTTCACCACAGCAGAGGGATTTGATTTCAAGTCTGCCCAGTGTTACGGAATCTGATGATTCGAGCGATAAGGATGATGTATGGTCGTCCACCCACAGCAGCAGGCTGACAGGCCTGGAAGATACTTCAACAAGGAAAACATCATTCGATTCCCGCATTTCCAGCTCCCCATCAACGAAAGGAGGAAGCCCAAGAAGAAAGCTCAGCCGTCGGAGCCGGTGGACTAGATCAAGCCCCGAGGCAGCAGGCTTGGGGACTATCGAAGAGTCGGCGGTAGACAAGCCAAAGCCAACTATATTGACGGTAGAAAGAGCGGCAGCGGCCAAGATCTACCTGGAGACTTACTTCAATGAGCTCGGCAGCGAGGCGTATCGTCGCTCTCTCCGGCGCCAGCAGTTTCATCAAGAGCTCTTTCGCAGTGCATATATGATGCCTAGCAGCAATAGCCTTACCTACGAAACTTTCTACTACCGGGAGAGCTGTCGCCTAAGAGATATACGAATTTTGAAATCCAAGTGCACAATACAAGCCAAGCAGCAAGATTCAAGCACCTGTGCTTCAAAATACGAATTTCTAAAAATACTGGGCAAGGGTAGTTTTGGAGTTGTCAAGTTGGTACGTGAGAGGTCAGACTCATCGTACTCTTACCCAAGTCGAGTTTTTGCAATGAAGGTTATACGAAAATCGGACATGTTTCGGAGCAGCCAGGAGGGACATCTTCGCGCTGAGAGGGACTTTCTTGTTTCTTACGAAGGATCAAACTGGTGAGCCCTTTCTCTTTGATCATCTTTTTCTTTTTACTTTGTGTTTTGAATACGACTCTTTTAAACTTACTATTATTTCTTGACAGGGTAGTGCCACTAATTGCAAGCTTCGATGACCTATCAAATCTATATCTCGTCATGGAATATATGCCCGGTGGAGACTTCTTGGGTTTGTTGATCCGCGAAAACATACTACACGAGGCTGTGGCATGTTTCTACATTGCCGAGATGATATTGGCCGTTGAAGAAGCGCATCGTCTTGGATTCATTCACCGCGACATCAAGCCTGATAATTTCTTAATATCCAGATCTGGGCATCTCAAAATCTCTGATTTCGGACTCGCATTTGACGGGCAATGGCCTCATGACGCATCATATTACAATTACCATAGATGCTCCCTTCTACGGAAATTGAGTATTGACGCTAAAGGAGATGAAAAGGACCAAGAAGACATTAAAGGCATCCAAGGGCGGGCCGAGAAATCACGCGCTCTGGCGGGTGACCTTGAGCGGCATAATGAGCAGAGCTTAGGAAGCGACCAGGACCTTGGTACTCTTTTGGAATGGAGGCACAGATGCGGCAACCGTACGAGAGCAAATTCCGTCGTTGGCACAAGTCAGTATATGGCTCCCGAGGTGATCCAAGCACAAAACTATCAAACGTACTACGACGGGAGATGCGACTAGTAGAGCATCGGCATCATTCTCTTCGAGTGCCTCTATGGACACACGCCTTTTCTGTCAGACAAAGGGAGGAAGCCCACAAAACAAAACATCCTGGTAAGCGTATTTGACTTAGAATTACCCATGTTACGCGTTGGAAATAGAATGCTAATAACCTTGCTCAAGGCTCACAAAGAAAAGTTTCGGTTTCCCGTGAGACCATTCGTCACTGATAAATGTAAAGACTTGATCTACCGCTTGATCCAGGACAAAGAGGTTCGCCTCTGCTCCAAGCGATACCAAATGCTCGATCAAAGCCAGCCGGGGATAGGGTCACCGACGGACAGATACGGCCGATATGTCTTCCCTAATGATGCTGAGGATATCAAAGCGCATAAATTCTTCAAGCCTATTCCGTGGGATACGATACAGAACATTTCGCCGCCCTTCATCCCTCACATCAACAGCCTTGAGGACAGTCACTACTTTGATGAATCTGAGCCTCTCGACGATTGGATAGAATCGGCAACGGAAAGACCCGGGCTCACAGATGAAGAAGTCCGATGGGTTTTGCGAGGGTATGGTATGGCCGTACAAAATGTGGCAATTCGTTTGATCAATGCGCCATTTGACTCGGGAGCCCTTCGCAGCAGAGATTTGGAAATTGACTCAATGAGTGCATTTGACGATGAAGAGAAGGAGTTGCTAAAGAGATTTACGAGAGAGTATGGGCGGAGAGTGCCCAAGCGACCAAGGGACATTATTCTACGAGACGAGGGTATGAAGGAGACGGCCATGATGGTGAGGAAACAGAGCGCCTTTATGGGCTATGCATGGCATAGCGTGAGGCGGATGACCTACTGATGCCTAGATTAATGAACTGAAGCCCTGAATTATTTGGTACCATGAGGCGTTTCGGATGGGAGGACGAGCCTTGATCAGCGTAAGAAAAAGAAATGAGAAAAATGAAAGAAGAAATCATATAGCAGGTTTAATGAATAGAATAGAGTTAACTGTATTGATTCAAGAAGTGATTATCCAATATACTCATAGTATCTATAGCTGAGAGCTGTTGCATTCTTTCCTGTCGGCATTAACCGCCGCATGCTTCTTATTTTCGATATTTGACATCATCTATTCGTATTCGTGGCTTATCCTGAAAGTTAACAAAGTTTTCTTCTTACTTGTATTCAGAAATTGTAGAGTATATAGTTTATCATGGGCCTTGTAATATCCAGAGAAGACAAGAATGCTGGATATAAATGATGGCATCTTACGGACATTGTTGCCTTTGAAGTGTGGTGTCACATCTATACATTGGCAGTTTGTGGTTTCTCCGCATCCCCTGGCGAAAGAAACGACTTGGCAGTACGAATCTCCCATTCAAACTCCCTAAGAGCACGAATCTCGGACCAGAAGAAGAGAAGCGCCATCAAGCCGTCGACAACACCCGTGGCGAGACCCAGGCTGGCGACGAGCATGAGGATAAAGGCCACGAAGTTGCGCGGGCTCCACCACACGGCAACGAGGCAGCCGATCCAGACGAGCACGGAGGCGTAGAAGTGGATGCCTCGCCAGAAGCGCTGGCTGACCTCGCGGGCCATGTACCAGTCCGTCATGGCGAGGATTTCGTCGTAGTCGGAGAGGGTTAGGGGTTGGGTGTCGTCGAGGACTTGATCTTTTGAGGGGATTTGCTGTAGTAGCTGGGCGTCTAGGTCGGGGATGGGGGAGGAAGGTGAGATTTGGTGGAGTTTGAGGATGGCGGAGGCGGCGAAGTGGTCGGATAGGGAGACGTTGAGGTCGGGATGTCGTTGGGTCATTTCGACGGAGGCTGAGTGGACGACCCAGCCCCGGGATTGAGAGGAAGAAGAAGAAGAAGAAGAAGAATCAGACTGGAAGCGGCCGGTGGTTGCAAAGACGTAGTCGAGGCGCTTTCCGCGAGGATCAGGGCTGTCTGGATCGACGGGCGACGGCTCCGTCTTGAGCTTCTTCTGCGCGCTCTTTGACCAGCGCCAGGTGTTGTAGAGCCCATCACTGGTCGAGCCGTTGAACTTGATGTTGTAGCCGGCAGTCGGCACGGGGAGGCCCCTAGCCTTCTCCGCGGGATCGTCTGCCGTTCCGAGGGAGCTGTCTGGGTGGAGGACTCGCCAGGTATCTTTGAGGGGCGTGCGGGCGGTGATGATGCGGTGGGGGAGCGAGCGGGGCGTCATGTTGAAGTCGCCGAGGGCGACGACGAGGCGGCCGGAGAGGGAGGCGGCGCGGAGGAGCTTTGAGATTTCCCAGGCTTGGGCGGTGCGGTGGCAGAGGTAGGTGTCGCCGGGGCCGCTCTCGTAGGGGGCGTGTGTCTGTGAGGGTCATTAGCGGTTGAGTGAGTGAGTTGGGTGAATGTGAGTTGAGATGACCATTTCACGACTTCTCTCATATATGCATTTATATGATTCATGAATGAGACGGGTAGTAGGGAGTGAATGAGATTGTATGAGATGGCATGGGAACGAGTGAATATTAAGAAACTCACATGAGTGTTGAACACTTCAACCACATCATTCTCCCCCGGGCCATATCTCACTCCAGCAATGGCCACCCCCTTGCCGACATACCAGTCGCCTCTCCAAAACGCCGTCGGCCTCCCGTTGAGCGGGTACCGGAACATGGAGCTCGACTCCACGGGCCACCGGCTCAGCAGCGCCAAGCCGCCGCCAAACGCGCCGCTGTTGTAGAACTTGCCATAGGGCAGGATGTCCGCCGTAGCCCTGCAGATGGCCTGGTAGTCGTCGCGCGTCCAGCACTCCTGGAGACAGACAATGTCCGGCGGGGGGTCCAGGAGGGCCAGCTGGCGGCCAATCTCGGCGAGGCGCGGGGTGCGCAGGTCGGAGATGAAGAGGAGACCCCAGCAGTTGAGCGAGAGGAGGCGGATCTGTGTGACGGGGCTGTTGGTGCTGTTGCCATGGCCTTGCGAGGCTGAGGCGTTGGGGGAGGTCATGGCGAGGCTGAGGGGGTGAGTGAGCTGGATGCCGGTGATGCCACTTCTGACGAGGCTGGGAGCCTAATTGATGGGGCTAGTGTGATACGATGCAGTCAATTGAGAGCCCTGTATGAGTCCAGAGACTTGAAGAAAGTCAATCGTGTGCGAATTCGTCACCAGCTGACACGATGCATGGCTGTGGTGGTGACGATGATGATGATGATGGCAGCATAATGTTTGTCAGGCTGCAGTACCCAAAGTGACGACTGTCGGCAGGGTCTGGTCAATGCATTTTAAGGTTAGGTAGGTCCCTCTATAAGGAGCTGACAGTGGCTTTTCTTCAGCTAGCTAACAGCCTGCAACTACACTACAGACAATGTCTTAATTCAAATGTTCTACACCATGTTGTCAATAAATGTGTATCCTCGTCAAGATAACAAAAGACAAGTTCTTATTAGAAGAAGAGTTATACTACGCGACACCCTTTTCTATATTGGCGGCACTCCTGAACACTGCGTATGCACTGTCCAAAAAGGTCCACACTACGTGCAGCTAAATAGAAGTAACCACTAACACCTAACATCTAACCCCTAGTATACTATACCTATCAACACATAACCCCCAACACCTAACTCTTAACCACTCACGCTTAACCTTTAACCTACTATAATATAGTAATGTACGAGTTATAATATAGCGGGATAAGTGCTATATTATAGTACCTAGCTATTCTCAAATGTACTTAGATTTACAGTGCAATGTTTCTATTTACTCAAACTGTGCCATAATACCTACTACGTACCGCAGATCCCGCGCTCCCGGAGCGGCTCCAGTTAAATCTCGGGAAAAGTTGCCAGGCAGCCCAAAAGCTAACCAAGCGTTCGCAACTTTATTGCTGAAAAGGGGGATTGCTGGCAAACCCGACTTTCCATCCTTTATAAATCGGAACTTGCGAAAACATTCATTACAAATGCGCTAATCCGCTAATAACATGGGCCTTGAAACAAAAAAGTATACCCCCGTATCATCGCAGAAATTGCTTATCAATCCTTGAGGTTGTCTTTTTCCTTTACAGGACTTTAGCATAGATTGATGCCGGTAGTGGGAGATGGCGTGTAAGTCATTGTGAACGAATAGAAGGTGGGAAGATGTGACAAGGTCTAGCTGCTTAGATGCCGCGCGCTTGAGCACAATGACGATGGTTCAAAAGCTTGGAAAGAAGAGAAAGCTCTGCTGCTGTGGAGCATGAGGTGAATTGGAAGTATGCCGCTTATATATAACGACGAGGACGCCTCTTCTGTAACATAGAACAGCGTATCCGCCCAAAACCTGCCTCCATTGCCCCAAGCCATTCTCCTATCCTCTCCGAACTTGTAAACCACCAACTCATTCTTCTTCTTATCCAACAATCCATTAGCCCAAAATGCCCGAAACCGTTGAAATCGCCATCGTCAGCTTCAAAGACTCCCCCTCCTCTCCTCCTCAATCCTGGCTCGACAACCTCAAAGCCTTCGCCTCAACACCGGGTCTCGTCGCCCTCTACTTTGGCCAGCAAATCGAACATCCCGACAAATACACCTGGGTTGCCCGCTGGACCGGCCAGTCCGCCATCGACGACTTCCACAACAGCCCCAACTTCAAAGCCTGGGCCGACGTCTACGCCGCGCCGCTCGCCACCAGCGTCATCAAGACCACGCAAGAGACGACGGGCGAGCCGAGCGTTCCTCTGGACTCGCCTTGTACGGAGTTCTTCATCAACCATGGCGCCAGTGACGATTTCCACAAGGCGAGGCTGGACCCCTTCATTCAGAAGCTCGTGGATGCGAAGCTGCCGGGCTTGATTGGCGGTTCGACGGGCGAGTACAAGACTGTGATTAATGTCAATGAGGAGGTGCCGGAGCAGAAGGAGGTGATTCTGCTGCTGGGCTGGGTTGATAAGGAGGCTCATACCGCCCTACAGGGAGAGGGCAGCAGTACGTTTTGTCTACAAATACATGCCTACCTATACAAAGCGAGTTGAACCAACACTAACTGTCTACTACAGCTATTGTCTCCAATCTGCCCATGATTCTTCCCTACAGCAAGGGGTTCAACCTGGTAAGGACGATTCAATCCATATGGTCAACACAGCGAGAGAGAAGGCAATTGCTAACGCTTTATATCCGCAGTATCATGTCAACTTGAAGAAGCTGTAAAAGCTAACAAACATACCCCAAAATGAATGCATCGTAAAAGGTGCCTGCCTGTACATGATGATGGCTCGGCATCAAGATAAGTAGTGCCAGATACACATTACATGCCGGCTTCATGTTGCACCATATAGACATTGCAGAGCGCCCCAGAGATGATTTCAAGAGCAAGAAAAAAAAGATATTTCATAAAAGACCAAAAAAAGAAACCATCGCATATTATAGAGCATATGTCCATTTTTTGTTTTGCAGTCCCTTGGCATCATATCAAACGATAACCCACCTCATAGTAAAAGCCAGCTTCGTAGACTCCCCCCATTCTGTTAATCTCAATGAATCGAAGTCAAATCAACCATCGTGCCGCCAAATGTCCCGTAGAGCTCCGTTTCTAATCATCATTGCTCTGCGCCCTCCTTCATTCATCCGAAAATTCGGTCCCAGTCACAGCAAATATCCCGTCTCTAGAAGACTGCCAAAATAAAAAAGAACAAAGAGATCATCGGTAAGAACAATAAAAACCGAGCAGTTACAAAAAAAAAAAGGGCAAGTAGAAGAATAAGAGAAGAGAGAATAAGTCCAAATATCTGTAGTAGTTGCCAGCATCACAGGATCATCTCATTGATCCCTCGGCAAACATGTTACATAGTGCAGCCAGCCGACCTTTCGCCCTGCCCTTTGCGCCTGTCATTCACTGATGCTCGCCCCCTCAATATGTAAAAAAGCATACCGATATTAGCATTCGTATCGCCGTCCTTTGAGAAGAAAACGACAAGGCGATGTGGTTAAATACGGTGCTTCTCAGATTCTGTCGCTCGATACTGGTTAGAAGCTTAGGCTCCCGTGGATCGGTTTTGCGTCTCACCAAGTCGAGAGTACAGCATGTAAAGAGCCATGCGGTTGCACTCTTCCGTTCCCGTAATCGTCACGAGCCGCTCGTTGCTATTGTCCTGGGGCTCGTTAATCTTAATGACGCTGCCGCTCATTTGCCGTATCTCATTGATCTTCTGTCCTCCCTTGCCAATGATGGCGCCGACCATGTCGTTGGGGATGTAGATTTGCTGCGTGATGGGGCCGCCTGGCATGCCGGCATGCATGGGCTGGCCCTGGGGCGCGCCGTGTGCTTGGGGGCCGGTATGGGGGGCCATGTGCGGCTGAACGTGAGGAGCAGCTGCTCCATATGCGGCAGGCTGGCCTGCTCCGTACTGCATGGGAATCGCCGGAGCACCGTGAGGGGCGCCGTGGGCGTATGGCTGGGGGTATGGGGCAGGCGGCATGTGATGGGGCCGACGCTCCTGGTGTCGGCCGTAGTTCTCTGCACGTCCGTAATGTCCAGATGCCGGCTGTGGGCTGTAGGGAACCACCTGCATGCCTCCGGGAATGGAGCCAACGGGTGCACCACTCCTGGTGGCATATGCTGAAGCCCCGGGTCCGCCAAATCGCTCGTTGAGCTGCTCAAGCAGCGTGCTACCGACATAGTAAGTGGCAATGTGAACGGCATCGGCGACGCCCATCACAACAAGGGAGCGCTCGCTTGACATGGGGAGACACGAATCTGAGGCATTCAGTCGAGCGCCGGACGCCTCCTGGATCTCTCGGATCCGAGAGCCGCCTTTGCCAATAATGGATCCAATGAGAATGTGAGGAATCAGGAGACGAAGGGGGTATGTCTTGGAAGAGGCGGTAGATGCCTCGGAAAGCGGTTCGTTGTTCAGTGTTCGGATGATCAAACCAAAGGCCTGTGTGAGGGGGAAGAAAGCAAGGAAGAGAGTGTTAGTGCTACGGCCTTATGACGAGAAACTCACGTGTTAAGAGATGGGGAGAGAAATATTTGTTCGCACATACCTTGGCAACTGCATCAACGATGCCACTGACGGTCAGGATGCGCTCGACAGCTCCCTTCTGATAGTCGCTGACCGTGCACTTGGCATTGGACATTTTTCGAATGTTTGATACGTTCTCACCACCTTTGCCGATGATGGTGGCAGCCTCTGGGCTGGAGATGACGGCCCTGATATGGATCCATGAGCTCTCATCGTGAGCAGCGGCCGAAGCGGCCACGGCAGACGAGGACGCTGTTGAGATTGGGACAGTGGGAGTGGCCTTGACGCTGGTGCCAGCTTCGGCTAGGGTGTTGTCAGACGACTCTGTGGCCGCGACGCCATTGGCATTTTCCTCTTCGCCGTTCTGCTCTGCAGCCTCAGCAGGCACTTCGGTGGGAAGCTCGAGCCTTTCCGTCTCTTCGTCATGCTTGGCATCTTTGTCCAAGGCGGGTCGCTTGGCCTCCGGCTGGTCAGTCGCTCGCGAGGGTGAGGAAGGCTCCTCGAGAGGGCGCTTAGCCGACTGAGTCGGTTGTGGGGGCGAGGCAGACATTTTGGTTCCTTGAGTAAAAAAGGAATGGTATAGTTCACAGAAATGAAGACGAATTAAAAGCTTCGTCCAATTGGTGGCGATCAAAGATCCTCTGAATTCTTTTCTTTTTTATAAATTTTTTTCTGGTTTCGTTTGTTCTTCTTAATCTACACTCAGGGGGTTTTCGAAGGAAAACGTGCTGGTGTAGTGGCTGGAATCGGTAATGAAGGATCGGCTGTCTCGAGTGTGCAGGATTTCGTGATGTGACTTTCTGGTGTCGCAAAAGGGCGCTGCCCAGACTGTGTGTAGCGGAATAAGTGTGGGAGGAGCGGTGTTCTCAAAGGGTGGAACTCTCTTCTTCCGCGTCTAGATGATCCAGAGCTTTCGCAAAAAAAAGGTGTGTCGAAATGGTAGGGAATCTCGATCAATGTCCCAGGTGGTGAGTGGAAAGAGAGGGCGATGATGAAAATTGAGTGGCTGATGGCAGTGGTGATGGTGGTGCAGAGGATGGTGGGTGAAGCGTATCGTTACTAGGACGGATATGTCTCGAAAGCAGAGAATGAAGAGACGAAGCGCTCAACTCAAACCTTTTTGCCCTCCTAGTCAAGACCTTGTGAGTCGCAGCTGACGCTCACGCAATACCAACACCTGGCGCGTTTGAACTCGAATAATCGACGGCCTTTGTCCTGCGAATGCGGATGAATTGCCTCGACGATGCGACCTGTCGCTCGTGCACGCTAACGCGGTGAACTTTGACAGAAGGATTGAAGGCAAAGACGTGATAAAAAGAGCCCAAGGCTGATTTCCAACCAGGATATCAAGCAGGGTCTAGATAACGCGAACAGCCGCACGCGGAGACGGTTTGATCAGCGGCGAAACGGAATCTCGCAGGACGCTGGAAACGATGACGCGGAGATGTCGATGCGATGCGATCGGATCGATGGCTACGAGTCGGCGCGTAGCGAGACGATGATGGAGAAACGAGTCGGCGGATGGAAAGAAGAAACTTTGGTGAGACGTCGGAGCTGGCAAAAGGGCCCATGGCTCCCTCGCTGGAGAACTGCCGCGAAAGCGTCACGTGATGGTCCAATTGGAACTGCCAGCGCTGCGAATGCGCGACACTCAGCCGCTAATATAAGTGCGGCGGGAGCACAGTGCGGTCTATGCAGACTAGAAAGAAGCTTTCCAATGGGCGGTCACTTCCTCGCAGCGCATTTTAAGCCTCAAAACGCTAGAATCTCGCAGCTACAGGGTGAAATTGAATACTGTGCAAATACAGTATAGAATACGGTATATCTCGACCTTATTTGTCTTGCAACACTGAACTGTCGCATTTCCTAGGGGAGCTTGCAGAGAATCAACCGAATTACTGTCGACGAAAGAAGCTCACAAAATCATGGATGATAGATCCCGCAACAACTCGGAGGCCCAATCTCATGCGACAAACATTGACCATACTCTGAAGGAGCTTCAGCGAAAAGTTCGCGAATATGAGGCTCAGCTGAGCGAGGTAGCTACCATGTCTCGATCGCAGCCCAGACAGCATCTAACAGAGCAGTCATAGTTGCGATCCGCCGAGTACGAAGCCCCCAGCACCGCCGCTGGCCAAGCGCGGATCCTCAAAACAGCCTTTGACGATGTCACCAACTCAGAGCCCTTCCTCCCCTTCCCAGGATCGGTTCTTCCTGCGCTGCTGGCTCTGCGCAAGACACATCAGACGATCCAGGAGTCCAAGGCGTTTCTAGCCTCGCAAATAGAGACGACCGAGAAGACAAAGAAGCGATTAAAAGACGACGAAGCTGCGCTGAGGGACCAGCAGCTTCTTAATGAAGCTCTCAAGCAAAGAATCGAGACTCTACGCACAGAGGCGGATTCTGGAGCCAACGCGCAACCCGAAGACGAAGCGCGCAAACGCATCGAGGAACTGCGGCGAAAGAAGCAAACATACAACAAAGAAACGAGCAAATTAATGAAGTCCCTCAACCGCTTCATCGACGACCATCTGGCGGTGATGCTTGCGGCAGAGGCCATGGGCGGCCCCGTTGTCGGAGACCTGATGAATGCCGACGCCGAGGAAATCGCCGCGGGCTTCAACGCGCAGGGCAAGCTCAAGAAGCCAAAGGGCGAAACAAACAAGGACAAGAGCCAGCGCCGCATAGACGACATTTGGGGCCCCAGCGACGGCAGCAGCGGCGGCAAGAAGAGGGATGTGGCTACGGCTGCTGGCGAAGAGATGCGGCAGCTCACAGAGGAGCTGCTCAATAAGCTCGTGGAGGCAAAGGGCAGCAGCTCAGATGCGTATGTGAGGCTGCCGTACGAGACAGCGTCGGCGAGGTTTCTCATCAGGTCCAACGTTGCGCAGTTTCACCCAAAGGACGCCATGAGGATACGACTGGTGGACTATGGACGAGAGCTAGACGACTAGACTAATGATGTTCGTAGAATAAATAGAGTTTTTCTACGTAAACAGTCGTCTTTGCCTGTTTGAACAGCCGAAGCCTGTGCCATATGCTGGAGTCGGCCTTTGATATGCTTACGCTGGAGTACAGTGCGCGTCGTCATTTACATGACTTCCAAGGTTATTTGGTTTACAACTAGTATCGTCTATGACCGCTGTAGCAATGTATGTCAGTCCAATTGATATCGAAATACACTCGCACCGCCTGATATCAGCGGCCCAAGACACAATCGATACCCAATGGCATCCTATCGAGTTGCACCAATGCCCTACAGAGCGAAATTGCCTACAACAACCAACATCCAACAGCACCCCACCAGCTCAATTAGACCAATTTACTCCCCGCGTCAGAACCACTTAGCAAAAACGCGTCGCGTGTCGCCGCCCCTCCAAAAGAATCCCACCACTAACAGCTTGTTTGCTACCAGACCAGACCTTTCTCACACCGACTTCCTTTTTCTCAACAATCCATTGGATTTGATGCAATTCGCCCTGCCTAATAAGTTACACCAACAGTAAGCGATACCTACTCCACCAACCAAAAAACAAGCAAAGCCCAAACCCTCGTTCCATCTATTTCAGCTTCTTTGTCTAACTGATCCTCTCTCCCTCCCCCCACCAGAATTGCACAATCACTTACGCCCAATTATTACCACCATTACTTCAATCTTTGCTCTTATTACCTAATTTTCATACTTATCTAATTGAAAATGTCCTCAGCTCCTGAAGTCAACGGCACCGCCTCCCCTCCTGCCAAGCGCATCAAGACCCTCCCCGACGGCGACGCTGAGCAGGACCAAGACTCTTCTGCCGTGCCTCAAGACGAATCCCCAGCCAACCCACCGACCACAACCTCAACCACAGCTACAGTAATGGAGGCCTCAATCCCGCTGCAAGTCAAGAAGCTCTCTCCCCAAGGCAGACTGCCCACCCGAGGCAGCGCATTCGCCGCCGGCTACGACGTGTACGCCGCCAGAGACACGACTGTGCCTGCCAGGGGCAAAGTCCTCGTCGATACAGACATTAGCATTGCCGTGCCAGCTGGAACTTGTATGTGAAAACAAAGCATCTTTAGAAGATCAATTGGCTGACAAAGTTCAATTAGACGGCCGAATTGCTCCCCGCTCGGGCCTCGCCTCCAAGCACTTCATCGATACCGGCGCCGGCGTCATCGACGCAGACTACCGCGGGCCCGTCAAGGTTCTCCTCTTCAACCACGCAGACGCCGACTATGAGATAAAGGAGGGCGACCGGGTTGCTCAGCTGGTGCTTGAGAGGATCGTGACGCCCGATGTCGTTGAGGTTGAGGAGCTGGAGGAGAGTGTACGAGGAGTTGGTGGTTTTGGCAGCACGGGCAAAAACTAAAAGGATTTGAATTCCTGTTCTAATGACATTGCATGACATGATATAATAAATGGTGGTGAGGGTATAGACGGTCACACGCAGAGGGATACAATAACAATACACCGAGTCGGATTGGTACGGGATAACCGTAAAAAGGAGAATATAAACAGCTTTTTGATTCAAGTCTATACAGATAAAAATACTAAGCCAAAAGATTTGATTCCACGCCATTGCTTAGGACTCCCGCGTCTATATCCAATTCACTCATTCCATTCTTCCTCCCCCCATCTAAGCCTTCGTTGCCGAAAACTTTATACTAGGATTCCTCAAGCTATCCAAGTTGGTAACCAGCTGCAGCTCCGCCGCCTTCGACTTGACATAATGCGCCTTGTCCTTATCATCCCTATCTCCAGCCTTCAGCTCCGCCCACGTCCTCTCCATAACCGCAGGCATCGCATCCCGCGTCTTCGCCAACACCTCATGCATGCTAGCCAGCACCTTCTCTGCCGCTCTCGCCAGCGGCAGCTCCGTCGCAGGCACGTCGTCGTCGCTCAGCCAGCTCGCGCGGCCGCGCAGACCGGGAACAGCGCCCGTGGCCTCGCGGATGCGGCTGGTGATGAGGGCGCCAAACATGTCGCCCGTGCCGCAGAAGTAGCAGTCGATGGACGGGAAGGTGATTTTGAACGTCCGGGCCTTGCGGTCGGATGTCATGGTGGAGCCGATGACGGAGAGGTGCGAGGGCGGGTGGTCCGGGGTTGTGAAGCTGACGGAGGTGATGATGATGTGAGGGATGTTGAATTTCTCGTGCAGCACCTGGATGGCCTGAGTGAGGCTGTCCATGTCGACGATTTTGACATCTGAGAGTTGTCTGCAGAGAAAGTCAGTACCCCATAAACGTCTCTTTTCTATCAAACATGAGACTTGTAACAAAACTTACTCGGCCTCAAATTGGTTCGGCAGTATCAAATCCGCATAGGGCAGAAGAGCCTTGTACGCGGGCACAACCTCCGGCGCCACATACAGCTTCCCATTATCCCCCATCACAGGGTCCAGCACCCAGAAGAACTTGCCCGGGGAATGCTGAAACTTATCCTTCAGCCCCTTGGCAATGTTTCCCACCGCCGTGACCCCCTCCGCGCCGGGGATGTACCCGGAGAGCATCATGTCAAAGTCATCCAGATACGACTGCTTCAGGCCGTTGTAGAGGTCGGTAATCTCTTGAGCCGTGGCTCGCGTCCCTGTCCACTGCTTGTAACCTGTGTGATTGCCTAAAGCCGAGAGAAGAGAGGCACAGCGTCTTGAGTCAGCCATGTCTCTTCATCAGGGGGCTCTCTTCCTCCAGAAAACTCAATAAACAAATAAAAACTCACTGAACTGCACCGTGTTCAGAGCGGCGACATCACTCCCCAGCGACTGGAGCACGAAGACGGCGACTTTGTTTCCCACGTTGCTGGAATTGGCCCACGTTAACTCAAAATGCCCAACTTCTCATAGACTAGCATTTTCACGCTTGCTTTTCAAGTCCAAATCATACCCTGAGACAACCTGCGAGAGCAATACAATTAGCTCAAGCTCATGAAATGAAGCATCCCAAAAAGCTTCATTGTGAAACTCATGAAGACAGCTTACATGGCTGGCCACCGCCAATACTCGTGGCGCAAGCACCACTGAGTCAGACATAATTTTTTTTTCCTTCCAAGGAAATCAAGATTATTGACGCCGAACTCCGGGGGGGATCTTGAAATTGAAACGTCAGATTGAAGAAAATAAAATAACAATAACAATATGTAGTATATGAAGTTTGAAAAGGAATGAGAGTTTTGGAAGTTTAAAATCCAGCCCAGGCCAACTCAACCCGGCCGATGATAATCGCTTGATGAATAATGAATAAGCTGAGCATGGCCGGGGCCCGGTCCCGCCGTCAGCGGAGGGAGTTTAAAGCCACAATAAATGGCGGGTAAGACAACAGGCTACTCACCGCTAGGGTTTGTCTAGGAGAGAAAGATACTTTTTGTCTATTACCAAGGCGATAACCCAACAGCAAAGGGAGGAAAATAAACAACTCAAAGGCGCAAATATCTAACTAGTAGCACAGGGCGCGTGAGACGTTATCATGGGGTAGGAAAAACACCCCGCCGACGGCCGGCCGAGACTACGATCCGGCCTAAACCGTACGTAAGAGCGTCCGATAGCTCAAGAGCCGCTTTAGGCGTTACAAGGGGACAGTAGCAATAGCGGAAAGAAAAGCGAGCTGGTAGTAGGCCTCTCCAGCACGGGACAAGGTCAAGATAGTTCAGGGAGGTAATTATCGGCTTGTAAGACTAAAGCTAGGCATGTGCTCAATCATTTCTGTTTTTGCTCTTTTCCTTCTTTGCCACAGATCATGATTAGAAAAACAAAGAAAGAAGCCTATATAACTGTAACAACATTCTCGATATCCATTTCTTCTCTCTCTCTCTCTCTGCCTGTCATCGGTGGGTAGTCGATCAGCCGTGATGGAAGACTTGAGTCTTTTTTTACTCCAAAGCCCGGCCTGATATATGCGAAGATTGTATGTGTTGGGTGTCTGAATCGTAGGGTTTGGGAGGGATAAATTTACTCCTCATCACCAATCTATTTCAAGTTGCAAACGTTAGCATGATACACCTACATTATAGATATATGTATAATAAGCGTAAAACGAACCTTTGGTGCAAGGTAGAAACGCAGGTAGCTGCTACCGGAGAGGTTGTACTCGACCAAGAGCGGCACCTCGCTGGAGAGGCAGATCTTGACCTGGTTAGACAAGGCAGCGGCCTTGCAGAAGTTGACCAGGTACTTGAGGGAGAAGGTCAAAGAAACGGGCTCCGTCAACTCAATGTCGACGTTCAAATCGGGCTTGTCAATGTTGGTGTGGCTTCGCAGAGTGACTGAGCCGTTACCAATGTCACCGTTGCAGGAGAACTTGACACCATCCTTGGAGGCCTCAATGCCGACTGCCAGAGTTTGATATTAGCTTCCATCTCATTACTCTCATTATACACATTTTGTCCACACAGGCAGATTTTGGGTGCATGCTACATACCTGACTCTGACATGGCCGCCAGATCTGTACAGATTCTCCGAAACTCAGCCGCAGGCATAGTAATGGTGGCAGCATACTCGGTCTCAGGGATACCCAGGTGCTCCTGGTCAATGTCCATGAGCTTGAGGTCGTACTCGCTGATGCGGTCGTTCTCGCTGCTCTCAAACATCAGGTTCAAAACATCCGGTGCGTCCTCGGCCTTGAGCGTCAGAATGTCCTCGCCCTGGGCAGCTCGCAGCACCTTGGTCAGAGACGTCAGGTTGACACCAAGGGCAATGTTGCGGTCGCATCGGTAGGGAGAGAAGCCTTCGGCCTTGAGCATCATCGACACGAGGGCGACGTGCGAGTTGTCCATTGCCTGCAGGGCGATGCCAGAGTCATTGCAGTCAAAGTTGCAGTCCTGGACGAGGTCCTTGATGGCGTCGACAACCTAGTAGTTTGGTTTCGTCGTCAGCGAGGCGTTGCAGGACGCGGGATCGTATCGACTTACCTTTTTCAGGATGCTGGCCTGTTCCAACCGTGCTTCCAACATTTCTGTCACATGTTAGAGTCCTTTTCTCCTCTGTCTGAGCGCGATCACGAGAGCATTGGGCGTAGACGAGAGAGCACAGGGGAAAAGAGAGGGGGATGCACGCAGCAGTAGCAGTGCTCTAATACGTACTGGATAGAGGGGGTGTGTGGGATATTAAAGAGACAAAGAAAGATATAAGGAGTGAATTGCTGTGGAAATCCGGATGCAGTGCAAAGTCAAGAGATTGGGCGCTGCACGGTGTGTATCACAGAGTTTTGTTGGCGAGGAAGAAAGAAGCACGTCCGTTCGGTGGAGGGTGAAGCTCTGGGTCGCCAGGCAGAAAAAAGCACTTAACACGACGGCACGAAGCTGTGGGCAATTGAGACGCGTCTAGCTGGGGTCTGACGCCAATTGCACGCGGGGCAGGTCTTTTTTTTAGCGTCTGGTGCCTGGAGCTGAAGGGTACCAGCACCTGGGCGGCCCAGGACGCCGGCAAGGGAGTTCCAGCGAAATGATTGATTCATCCAGCGGAAGTCGGCCTATACGTACAATTCAGGCATAAGCAAATGGTGATTTTTCATTGGTTCAAAGAAATTAAACATAAACAAAATAAAGGGCGAATGAAAAGCACAAGTCAAGAGATAGGACAATCAATTGCATCATCTAAATCGCTTTGCATCCGCTGCACTCAATTTGGTGGTCCCATCACATTTATGCCCGCATTTCAACAAACAAGATTTCAACACCCCACGCATGTTGCCAGAGATAATAAGCATGCCAAATGTTCAGCGTAATATACAAAATTTGCGTTGCGCAGTCCCCCATCTCATACGCCTTGTCTAAACAGCGAACAGAAAAGAATGATAATCGCAGAACAAAACGAAACAAACACCTCCCACTAGCCACTATTCTGACCGATTCTAAGAGAACAAGAAGGAAAAACAATCAATGGATGAAAAAGCAGACAACCTATCGCCATAAAACCCAGAGCCCTTGTACCGTATCTTACCCCAAAGCATAACAGAAAAGAGAGAGAGAGAGAACGAACCAGAAAACCAAAGACAGATCAACAAAAAAAAAAGAAAGAAGTGCTTAAAAGAGAGATATGATGCTGCCGTGCGCCTAAGAATGTTGCATGAAAGACAGGCCAGAAAAAAAGTTGAGGGATTGATGTTTATCGTCGAGACTCGTGAATCAGGCCTCACATGGAGATGCGTGCCCCAGGAGGAGCGCTGGCTCGCTTCTGAGGTCGCAGGCTGATTACTGTTTCCAGCTCTCTCAGCATGCCCTTTGTAGCCTCCAGCTGCTGACGGGCTGCCGCTCTGTGCTCCCTCTCCTCTTTAACCTTTGCGATTCTCTCTTCTCGCGTCAGCATGCTTCGAGGTCGCGGCTTGGCTACCGCCTCAAAAATCTCCTGGTCCTCCTCAGCATCATTGATATCTGATGCTGGCGGGGATTCACCAGTGAGAGCCTTGAATGCTTCTGCCGCACCTCCTTCGCCTATGGTTGTGAGTCCGCTGAGGGAGCTTGCAGGTGATAGGAGCGTGCTTATTGATGAAAGCCTCTTCTCGGTTCTGTCAATACCTTGAGCAAGAGCCGCTCTGCCTTCTTCCCATGCTGCCATGAGCATTTTGAGGTCGACTCCAATGGAGTCGTACTGTGACATGAGGTTGGGTCCAATTTCAGAAATGTCGTTGGAATCGTCCAGGGCTCTATCTGATTCTTCTCGCAGTAGATGGAGTTTGGCTTGTAGGCCCCGAATTCCAGTTGACATGGAATTGAGCTTGCGAACCTGAGAGCGCCATCGCTCTTTGCCTGGTGTTAGAGGCAGCGACGGAGTAGGTGGCAATGGGAATGCTGAACAATCGTTAGAAACGGGTTCAGTAGAGGTGAATATGAAGAAGATACAAAAAGATAAGAAAGGCGGCTTACATTCTTCCTCGCTTAATATCCCCTGCAGCTTCTCAAACACAGACTTGGTCGAGACATTGGCGCTTTGTAGCGCCTCGACAGCAGCCGTCCAGCGCAGCAAATCCTTGGCCTCTCCATTTGCATCCAGCGCCAGCAGAGCACAGAGAAGCATCTTTCGCGTGGTATGGAACCGCGCGGCAAGAATCTTCAGCGTCCTCAGCGACTCCGCATCTTCAAATTCAGATTCGTTGAATCCTAGGCGCGAATCCGAAATGTCGAAATCGCTAACGTCGTACATGTCATAGTACTTTTCCAGCTCCATTTGCTCGGCAAAACCCCTGACAACATCGGACACCTGGTTATACGTCTGCAAAACGCCGGCAAACGAGTTTTTGAGCGCCTTTCGTAGCCGACCGCATTTTCGGCTTTGGGTGCGCTCCTCAATTCGGCTAACTGGTGGAAGAGGTAGGCTACTGTGGAAATTGTTAGTATGCCAACATTGATGCCAGATGTAATCGGAGCCAGAGGCCGCTACAGCTACGAAGATGCAGGGAGCAAAACTAACATTCGGTATCCTCGAGAAACAAGTTCGACTTCCTGTACGAGAGAGAGCGCGGCCTCAGTTGCACTATCAAAGTTCTGCGAATTCGAGATAAATGTGGAGATCTCAGCCAGGGATTGCTCTCTGCGGTAGCGAAGCCACTGTCGTCGCACAAAGACTTGTCCTACCAGCGCGGCCGCTGCAGCAATAATAAGCACCAGAATTAGGCGTCGTTTCGTCACATACGATGGCGCACTACTCAGTGCCCAGCTTAGGAAAACTGCGAGAGCTAGGGCTCCGACGACGGACACTATAATACCTTCGGTCGAGAGGAGAGATTGGTCATTGGTGTTTGTGGTCGAACCCGGTGTTTTCAGGGCCGGAGGTCGGTTCCCAACTAACAAATGGCCATTTAGGAGCTGAGAAGCAATGATTGTATATCGAAACTGTTCGAGGAACCGGGCGTTGTCTGCGCTATCGAGGCTAGCGGCGAGGAGGGCCTATTATCGATTGATTCAACTCCAGATTAGATTTATACGAAATATTATAGGCGCAACAGCGTCAAGCTTCTGAGCTTCAACAACGGCGGGTTTTGAACATACAGAGCAGCTTTTCTTAAGCGACTGCAGCGTCAGAGGCTGCGCCTGCGCCTGAGGCTCCTCAGCAAGCTCCAGCCTGTTGGTATTGCGGAATCGTGCCCTCACCAAAGGGCGACCGGTCGGCGCAAAGGGGGTCGGGCTCGCAGGAGGCGACGATGCTATCGACAACGGGAAATCAGGAGTGCCGTCCATGGGAGCCCATTCTGCCTCCGACATATTACCTCCATCTTTGGGTGAAGACGACACCGGTCAGCATGCGCGCGCGATTCAGGGGAAGGAAGCGACAATCTGGAGAACCTCAACATACCTCTGAGGTAATCGGCTAGAGGCGTTTCTTCATACACCACGGGCTCCATCAGCAATTTTCATAAGCGACTTTCGAGGTTGGACAGCAACAACGAAGGGACACGCAGAGCCATGGAGCCCGCAGCAAGCTGGGCAGGACAGGACAGGAATGCGACGGGGGAGATATGGACGAGAGCCACGGTATGCTGCGCCGCCCTGTTTCGTGCTCGGTATGCTGTGGCAACTGGATGTTGTTTTGTTTTGTTTGGTCTGATTCACTGCGTTCGTTTCGAGCTCTGTTTTGTCTCTTGTTTCCCCGTGCTGGCTGTGTCTTGCTTCTGCGCGCTCGCCTGCAGTTTAGTTTCAGGGAGGACCTCAAGTGAAACAGCAGACAGCGTTCGAGAACCCTTCTTCGCATGTGCTCAGGGGAGACGCAAGCGAAAGCGGGCTGGGCGTTCGCGAGCTTTCGGGACTAGCGAACAAACGCAGATGCTGCCACAGCTCCAACAAGCAGCTCCTCGGCGTCACAATCGCCTGCGGTGGCCCGGAACCAGGATGGATCGGTCGTGCATGGATCTGCCCCGTCAGCTCATTTGGGACCCCGAGATTGGATGACGGGGGTTTGCGCGGTGCAGCGATTCCGAGTGAGGCGGAGTCGAGAAATGCGGTGCAATGTCACTTTGCGATGGATATGCCTCGAATGAGGGAGCGCATAAGGAGCCACAGGGTCCAGAGTACATCCGCGCCCCATACAAAATTACAGCTGCGCACTTCCAGGTGAACTACGGGGCGCTTTGTACCGGATACATTGATCTCAGACCCCTCGTGCTTTGTACCTCGTGCTCTGCAGGTACCGCGTGCAGGTACCTCGTGCCTCTGTGGTGCCTTTGCGCTACGTAATCTTTACCGGAACTACAGTTTTTCCCGATACACCGCGTTAGCTCCAACCGTCTCCAGAATCTGAGCAGAGCTTCCCATTTTGTGGAGAGAGGGGGACAAATCTGAGCATCGAAGCGGGCACAATCCTCGACGCGACCCGGTACGGTACGGCTTCTTTCCTTCTCGCGAGCACCAGTGCGATGGCTCGATAATCTCGACGACTCCATCATCAAAACCTTCGTCGGCGGTGCACCAATGCCCGTGCGGTCATCGGCGCAATGCCGGCCTGCAATCCCGCAGAGGGCTTCGGCCGTCTGGATCACAGACTCGATGCTTCGCCAAGCCATTGAGCACTATCACCGCCAATTCGCCGCTCCTGCACCCTGTCGACTGCTGAGTTCGCACTCTGGGCCTCTCGAAAGCCGTCGCCGCCAGCTTGGCAAGCGCAATATGACGGGAATCATGCCCTCGTCTTCGACCTATACCCCGCTATGGCACTTTGACGTGGCCTGGATCCCCAGCGAATGGAAGTGGGAGCCGCCAACTACAGTGGAGGAGAGGAAGAAAAAGAAGCAAGCCATCAATCCCTCGGCTCTCTTTGACGGTCTTATCTCCTGGCTAGAGAAATCTGATGGCGACAGACCATTCATTCAGCCACCAGCAGATATTGTCGTCTCCAACGTGTCGAGCATGTCGGTTGGAGAAGCAGCAGCAGTTGAATTTCTATATTACGATATTCCCATACCAACAGAGTTGCCACAAGAATTAGTTACGTTACGGGCTTCTATTGCTACTCTAGAGACGATAAATAGCGAGGCGCTAGATCGGTTACGGAAAGTGTTTCGCCGTGATCATTTGCGCAGAATGGAGGAAGCACTTATTCCTGTTGAGGGACTGCGTTTGGCAATGGAGCCCCTTGACCAGGCCACAAGAGACAAATTGTCTGACCCGAAGATGGCAGATTGGCTTATTGCTAGAATTCGCCGTACCCTTCTGACCGGCCTTGATGCTGCTCAAAAGACGACTTCTGACGAGGCCGCTGTGCAAGAACTTTGGGCGGCGTTTGCCACCATTATTTGTTCTTCAGGAGGCAGCTACCAGAATATTAGGCTTTTCAAACGCATGTTGAGCTTGATGCCGGACTCGATCAAGATTCACATACCCACAGATCAGATATTCAACTTGGCACAGTCTTTCGTTGTAGCTCAGGCTTCCAGAAGCAACCTTTCCGCAAGCTGGAAAGCCACAGCGGCTCAATTTGGACAGGCACTCTCGATGCTGCATCCCACACAATTACAAAGTCTGGATGATGATTTTCACACTTTCTTTTCACGGCAGGAGAAGAACCAAGAGAGAGACCGAAGACTGCTATTTCCATGGCTAATAGCCAAAGCTTATAATCCAACAACAACAAACCAAGAATTTGCTCAATCCTATCGGCATCTCACTGCGTCCCGTGAGACTGATTTCCGTCACCTCCAGCTATGGCAGCTTATTGTCGCCAGATTAAAAGCAACAGGAACCATTGACGGCGATCTACACTCCGATGTTACAAGGATCGAGTACAGCTCCCTATCACAGCGATGGGCAGCTTTGTTCTCTGCGATTCACAGCCTTCCCAACGCAAGCAGTATCCTGACTGAGCTCTTCAACTTCTTCAAGGGCATCGGCCAAACCGACGCCCTCATCAGCGCACTATCATCCCTTCCCATCTCTCGCACATCTATCAACTGCGTTCGAGCACTAGCCACAACATGCGACGACCATAAACTCGCCTTACAACTCTACGAAGCCCTTCGGTCACGGCTAGGCCAGGGCGAACAAATCACAACGTGGGGGTGGGAAGCATGGGTTCCATACCTAGAACGGATCATCAAAGATCCCGAAATCACACGACCGGTGCACTGGGAGATCCTCAACCTACCCCGACTGGTGGCAACCGCGCAAAAGTCGGCTCCAGATCCGGAGGAAATCGCCCGCGAGATCCAGGCCAAGATGGCCCTCCTCGACAAGATGGGCCAATGGTACATGGAGGCCTCGCACCTCAACGACCGCCAGGTGCTCCGGCGCCTGCAGCGGTGCGCAAGCGTCCAGCGAGCGCTAACAAGGAGCGTCTCGTCGCGGGTGCTCGCGCAGGTGACGGAGGTGGTCACACGAGACCTGCAAAGGGGCCAATGGGGCAGGACGACGTGGCTGCAGTGGCTGTTGGGCATGGTTGCGCAGAAACACGGCGACGAGCACGCCAGTGATGTCTTGAAGACGATCAAGGGATGGAGGTGGATGATTGATCATCACCAGAGTCCTGCTGCTGCTAATACTACGGCTGCTAAGCACGAGCCCAGGGACGCGTGACGATATACTTGATAGCCACTAGTCTCCCGCACGTATTTCCACGTGCGAAGATAATCTATACACCAATAAACAAATTAAGATAAAATTTCCTCTGAAAGTGAAAAGTGACTGGGCAGTAAGATAGGGCACAGATCAGATACATGATGCCAAACAGTGGATGAGGCAAAAGGCATCGATGCCTAAATGCAACGCCGTCTTCCACAACTTGGACTCCGCGCATACTAGTGGTCGGTACTACCACACTCTAGGCCGATTCTTCCATACCTGCAGGATGCTAGCAGTAGCATCAGCAAGGACAATCAAACGCTCAAGAGGCATTGGCCGCTTCGTACTACCACCATCTTCACGATTGGACGAAATGATTCACGATGCATCTCAGTGGAGATTTCTAGTTTCATTCAGTCATAAGTCTAGGGCCTAGTCGTACTCAGATTAAACAGAAAAACACACGAATGAAATCGAAGAAAACGTAAAAAGAGTAATCAACAAACGCATAAATATTTCATGTCAACATTGCAATAAAAAAACGAACACACATTCGCGTTCTCGGAAACGCAAAAAAAAAAAAAAAAAAAGCCAATAATTAAATACAAGCTCTGAGTTGTGGTAACAGAAGTTTCATAATCTGTCCAACTAAAAGAGATAAAAGAAACATAAAGGTAAATAAAGTGTTTCGCCGTAGCAAGAACGAAAATTCCAGTAGATAGGTATCGTATCATCAAACCATGTATTAAACAGGTTGCTTTGCTTTCCCGCATTTTGCCCGGTATAGGAAATAAAAAGAAGAAGAAGAAGCAAAGAAATTCATCACTGCACTAAACAGAAAATCCAAAAGACGTAGTCCAAAAAGCCGTCATAACAGAGAGATATGTACGCAATGCAAAGCAAGAAAAAGAAAAGAACAAAAACACCATCGCTCAACTTTTTTCTCAAAATCTTTATGAGTTATATGTAGAGAAAAGAAAGAATCAAAAGAAAAAGGTCATCATAAATAGTGTAGTCATAAATCCCTCCTTAGACTGCATTCGCCTGTCTGGTATCGGGCGAGTTGGTGCCGCCGCTCAGACGGCCTGTGCCCGTAGAAGCTCTCCCCCCGTCAGATGGCGTGGGTTGGCGCGTGAGCTTGCTGCGGGCAATCAGGACCTGAGCAGGGCTGATCACAATCTCCTCATCGTTGGAGCCATCGTCGTCTCCCTTCTTGACAACGAGGGGGAAGAGGACAACGCGCACAATGGCGCCGCGGGCCTCGAGCTCCTCATTGGTGAGCTTCAGCGTTCCACTCCGCTCACTCATCATGGACGCGTTAAATTGGACAGTTTGTACAAGCTCGCCGTCTGCATCGTATTCAGGCTGGAGGGGCGGCAGCATCATGTACTCGGCCTTTTGCGTCCGCATCTCGATGGAAAGGTGGACAGCCTCGTGCATGACCCTGCGCAGCTGGGCTTGGATCTGGCCCTCCAGGTTGGACGGCGGCGGGAGGACCTTGCATAGGGTTTGGTAGATGGCCTGGACGACAGCCTCCGTGTCCAGGTCTCGTTGCCTCTTGAATGAGTCACGCTTGGAGAGCAACGTAAGGGTAACAGCACGCCATTGGCGTACGGCTTGTGCTGGGCCAACTTCGGTCAGCAGCTTTTCCAGCGATTTGAGTTTCTGTCGCTGCTCTCGGTCCATTCCAAACAGGTACCGAGTAAAAACAAACTCCCAAATCATGTTCATGGTCATGGACATGAAGATGTCACGCCGCCTGACTCTGTCATTGAGATATCTGTCGACGTCAGAGCCATCTAGGACAGCATTGTCAAGCCGGTCGATGATCTTCTCATCATTGATCTCATTGGTCAGGCGACAGGCTCGCATATCTGAGAATTTGGAGAAGCGAAGAACCCATTGCTGAACGTGGGAACATAGTTGTTGGCAGCGATGATCAAAGTAGTCTTCGTCTTTGATGTTGAGGAACTGCACATCGGCAGCCTTGGATTCGAGAATCTGGCGCTGCAGCTCGCGGATTCTCTCTTTGGCAGCATCCAGCTTGGTCGTCAGGTCGGCAATCTGTGCATCTTTCTCGTGCAGAGCCTGCATGAGAGCCGCTTCGTTGCCATCACGGTCGGCGTAGACCTGTAGATCTGCATAGCGGCTGTTGTCCTTGTTGGCCAGCTCGGCGTTGGCGCTGGTGAGGCCTTCATTGACCTCGGTCAGGCGAGAAACCTCGCCCTTGAGGAACTTGAGTCTCTGGTTGAGAGCCTCAATCTGCGTGTCACGGTCGGAAAGAGCGGTGACAACACGGTGGCTTAGGTGCTGTTCGGAGCTGTGGCGGGCATCGGAGAGCAGACGGTTCTCTGCTATGAGCTGCTCGACTCTGGCCTCGAGCTCGAGGACTTGCATACTCTGGCGTCGACGCATGCTGTGTGGCCTTGTGGGAGATCGTGGCGAGCCAAATTGGCCCTCGCCCAGCCCATCCTAGAAAAAAAGGCCCAATGGGTTAGAAACGGTAAAGCGACGCCGACGAGCTGAAGCGACGCGGACAAGGGACAATAACAAAACAGAGAAACAAAGGCCGGGCAAAATAAGCAGTACAGGGAAACAAAGTCAGGCAGCCCGCAAGTGACCACGACTCGATGCAAGCACTTCGGCAACCGCAGACAGGCAGGCAATCAGAGAAAAGCCCAGATGCTGAGGAATGCAGAGCTTCGCAGGGCCGGGCGGAGCATTGGCTGGGGGGGTGGAAAAATCACGAGGTTGGGCGGTGAAGCCGAGTGGCTGGGAGCTGAGAAAAAAAAACAGCAGAAACGCTGCCCAGCCGGGGCCATGCAGGCGGCGGTGGGTCGGGTCATCTGCGGGCACAAATCATGTGACGGGGATCAGGAAGAGCTGGGTGCACTCACAAATACATCGGTCTTGTCCTTGGCTCGCACGCGGCCCTCGTTGGCCACCGGAAGCGACGCGCTGCTGGAGTTTTGCTGGCGCAGCGATCGCAGGTCGCCGCCGCGCTTGTCTGCGCGCCGCAGCCCCGGCGTCGGGATGGACGACGATCGCACTGTGCTGCCGCTGACGGCGTCGGCCTGGAGCGAGAGTTTGCGCCGTTCAGGGGTCCGCTGGCGCACCGCGCCGCTATTGGGCGGGGACTGTGGCGCTGGGCCATTGCTGGGGTCGGCCCGCGCTGGGTCTGGCTGGTGTCGCGTGGCGGACGGGATCTGGCTGTCCGAGACGCTTCGTGGCTGCGGCTCCGTCGATATCGCCTTGAGCGCCGGCGACTCTGGGCGCTGCAGGCCCGGCGCAATCTGAGCGCTGACGGCTCGTCGTAGGCTTCGCAGCGGGCCTGCCACCGGTGGTGAGGGCCCTGTCGGTGGGGGGCCTGTCATCGGTGAGAAGCTGAAAGAGGTTGCTGCTCGTCTCAGCATCGGGGGAGTGTCGGATCGATCCGACAGCGACGGTATTGGCGATATTGTCGAAAGTCGTCGTGGTGCGATGCCCATTCCAGCGATGGCTCCGTAACCTTTCCTCGTAGGACTGGATCTCCCTGTCGGAGTCTCCGGTCGTGTTCCTGTTCCCGTCAACACTCTTTCCCTTGTTCCCGGTATTGTCTTCTTTTCCGGGTCTTGAGCCGCGTCTCGTAGCGACGTCTCTCCTAGTCTCTGACCTCCCAACGTAGACCGTCGTAGGCGCCTCTTAAGCGGTCGATCTGGTGCCTTGTTTACGGGTTCGGGAGTCTTGAGCTTTGCTATGGCTGCTTCTATCCAGTCACCGTCAACTCCGCTATCGCGCATCTTCTCTTCGTCGTCTCCAATGGGTATCGTGCTTGTGCTGTGTCTCCTTGATCGGCTGGAGAGGATTTCTGAGAAGTCACTGTCTCTGTAGAAGCCAACTTCCGACGCTGTCGCTTCCGCTTCCGCCTCTGGCTCTGGCAGCTCTTCAACTGAAGGCAAAGTTCGCGGGGGTGACAGCCTATAATCAGATGTTTCGTAGTCAGAGAATTCACCCAGTTCCATTGGGGGAAGCACTGAGATTTCCGACGCATTCGCCTCCCGGAGAAGTCCACCGATAGGATCCCCCACTTGGGAACTCCGTCGAAGCAGCTCAAAGGGCCCAAGTGACTCCAAGAGCTCTGTTGCTTCCTCTATATCTGCACTCCCGACACGCTCTCCTTTGAATGCATCTCTTCTGCGCAACTTCTTTCCACCTAACTCAGGACTTATGACTTCTGAAATACTTTCGCTTCTCTTTGGTGTGCTAGGCCTGATGGATTGAGATTGGCGCTTCTTACGCTTGTTGGGAGTCGTGGGGCCGTTGCCACTTTCCAAGAAATCGTCAATCGTTTGTACTTGATTTAATTGCCAGCTCCTCTCGTCACCGCTTTTCCGAGGAGCTGGATTCCCTAAAAAAGACTGGTCTTTAGGGTCTTCTTTGTCTGAGGGTATGGGGTCTCTGTCTGGAGGTATAGGGTCTTTATCTATGTCCCTTGTTGGCTTCTTCTTGGCACCACCAAACCGTTCAGCCATGAGAGAGACGCTTCCGCTGATCCCTGTGAACCAAGGTCGGCCAGATCTCTCACTTCCTTGGCTAGATGCTGAACTTGGTCGGACACCCCTCTCCATTGATGAGCTGGGGCTAGAAACGGAGGGATCCTGCTTGTCGCCATGCTCTTCTGAAGAAGGCTCAACAGCATTGTCAACATTGCCTGCCATTATCTGCTGCTCTGTTTGGCTGCTCCTTCGCTGAGGCGTAGAGATAGCTGACGGTTCATCAACGAAGGGCGCATCTTCGATTATATGGCCTTCTGCAAGCTCTTCTTGCGATTGCGTAGCAGATCCGTGCTTCTCCCATTTATTTGTAAACAGATCCCATGGATTTTCCGATTCATCTCCTAAAGGGGCAGGGGCAGCTGTTGAGGGTGCATCTCGATTTGCTGACTCAGGCTCGTTCGCTAGCTTGGAATCGGCATTCGCAGGTTCTTCCGCCACAACCTCCTCAAGAATGGGGGCTAGAGATGCATCGCCGTTCTTGGCAGATTCAGAAAACTTGTTCTCGGCTGAATCAGATCTCACAAGCTCGCGAGGCTCAGACTCTACCTTCTCTAAGGCTTCAGGTAGAGCAGTGGTTGGTTCTGAAACACTGATCTCGCCGGGAGGTAGGGGCGCTTCTCTTTGAGGAGGGGGTGGAGGTGCTTCTCTCTCAGGGTGTGGTGGGGGAGGATTGTTGTTGGCACCATCTCCCTGTCCCGTTTGCTCACCCAGACTGTTGTGTGAAGATGATGGCTCACTCCCTGCTGTCGACTTCTTACGCTTATGCTTGTGTTTCTGCTTCTTCTTCTTTCCTTTTTTCTTTTTCGACCGAGTAGCCCGGTGGGCATGTTGTTCTGCGTACGGAACCGCCGTTACCTCGAAGCCAGTAAGGCTTGATGTAGACTCACTATGTCTCGGATGTCTAGACCGTCTTATCGACCCTCGTAGTGATGCAGTATCGGAGATTATAGTCGAAGTATCGTTGTCGGAGTCGGAGTCATCATCGCTGTCTCCGTACTCGCTTGCTGATGTCTCTCCGTAATCAGGCTCAGGTGGAGCCAGAAGGAATGTGCTTTTACGAGGCGGTATTTCTTGTCTGTATGAGGAAGAAGGCCGTTGAGGTACAGGGTCGAGAGGATCAATGGAATCTTCAGTAAGTCTCCTAGAAGATCCTTGTGCAGGCTTGGCTGGGAAAGTAAATTCAGGCAGTCTGACCCGCTCGGTAGGTTGTTCTTCACTTGGCTGGCTGATGGCTTCGGCAGGCGGCAATTGCTCCAGTTCCGCAGCAGGTTCAGCTTCGTCCTTCTGCAAGATTGGATCCACGCTAGCTTCTTCTGTAGTGGTATTTTGCTGCGTAGCTTCATCCACCTGGGGAATAGCCTCTTGAAGTTCCCTAGACTCAGGCTGACGCTCTTCGGCTTGTACCGACTCCGGCTGAAGATCTTTAGATTGGGGTTCATCCTCAGTTACAGCTCGTTCCTCCGAGGATTTTTCTTCAGTCAAACCCTTCTCAGCCGCTTCCGCATCATCCACGGCTAGGTCAATCGGATTTGGAGTGTTGTGAATATCGGACTCGAAAAGGTCCAGAGGGTGAGAGAGGATTTGCTCCTTCGAAGGCTTTTCCTTTTCCTCAATCAAATCCTTGTCAGCCGCTTCCGCTTCCGCATCTTCAGCAGTTATGTCAATCGGATTAGGCGTGTTGTGAATATCGGACTCGAAAATGTCCAGAGGGTGAGAGAGGATCTGCTCCTTCGAGGGCTTTTCCTTTTCCTCTGTCAAATTCTTGTCAGCCGCTTCCGCTTCGGCATCTTCCACGGCTACGTTGATCGGATTAGGAGCGTCGGGAATATCAGATTCAAATATATCCAGAGGGTGAGAAAGTATCTTGCCAGGAAGCTCTTCCTCTTTATCCAAAAGTGGAATGTAGCTGGTATTCGTAGCAAGACCTGAGTCTATCAATGTAGTGTCGACCGTGTCATCCCTGACACCCTCTGCCGGGGTCTCGATTTGGCTTAGGTTTTCAGCCACACTCCTTTCCTGACCGTCACTTGTAGGCTCGGTCATCTCTGCGTCCACTTGTGGCTTGCCCTCTTGCAGCTCCAAAGATTCTTTAGCACGAAGCTCGCCGGCCTCCGTAGAAGCATCCTTGGCTTCAGGAGCACGTTCTACCTCCTCGATGGCAGTTTCTGGCACTGTGCTTACAGGGGCAATAGCACCATCCTGAGCGAGATCCAGATGTCCAGATTCTGCATCTTGAGTGAGGCGCTCCCTTTCCATTTCCTCGTCCACGTTTGGTAGCGTGATTGGTGATGCTTCTAGTTCAGCTTCCAGTGTAGGTTGTTCCAGTTCAGATGTCATATTAGATTCTTGTGGAAGGTTGGTTTCCACTGCGGCGTCTAAAGTATTGGTCGAATCAACAACTTCTACAGATTGCTCAGAATCGTTCGCTTTCTCCTCTTCCGTTTGTCCATCGACATTACCATAATCGTTGCCCTCCACCTCTGTCTGAAGCTCCTCTTCGTGCGTTGATCGAGAGTCCTCAGCAGGTCCAGTCTCTAAAGGAATATCAGGTTTAGCAGCATCGGCATCAGCCTCTCTTGATTGATCTCCAGTTTTCTCAGTCTCCAAGACAGTGTTGTCCACCGGTGGTTTCAACCCATCATCACTGGCTTCTTGGTCTGGCTTTGGTTCCAGATCTGCGTTCTCGTCAACTTCCTGAGGTGGCAAAGTCTCAGATTCTTTTAAGGGAACAGAATCTTCATCTTTGGTTTCAAGCTCCTTAAGAATCGGTGAGCCTAGCTCGGTTTTGTCTGCTGGGGGCACTACATCCAGTTCCAAGACAGGATCAGAGGGTTGTTCAATGGCCGCATTATCTTGTGAGCTCTCCTCAGGCGCTACTTCAGCTAAGTCAGCGTCAGGCGCTGAGTCGTTAAGCACGGGATTTTCTGCTTCCCGGCTCTCATCTGCTGAAGCGAGCTCTCTCGTCTCCGGCATAGTATCAGCCGGAGTTTGATGATCAGTGAGAGATGGTATTTCCACGGACTCATTTGGCGTAATCTCAGGCTCAAGCTCTCCCTCTGTTGGCTCAATTGCTTGCTCTGTTGGCTCAAGTGTTTGCTCTGCTGGCTCAAGTGTTTGCTCTGCTGGCTCAAGGTGGGAGATAGAACTTTCTTGCTTTTCGTCGTTATTCTCTTCCTCTGCTGGTGAATCGGCTTCTTTGAGCTCAGGCTCCGGAAGACCAAGATCCGGGGTCTCCGTAGATTCTTGCTCGTGAATATCCTTGGCTTCTTCAGAAGGAACGATATCATTGGCATCAGCAGAGCGCTCCTTGTTTTCCTCAGCCTCGGTTTCGAGTTCGTCAACAGTATCGAGTACAGAGGGCGCCTTTACAGCTTCAGTTGATTCGGTTTGTTCCTCCGTTGGCAGTCGAGCAGACTCCTCGGGAATTATAAAACTCTCATCCATCTGCGTTGGCTCATAGCTAGGAGACTGCTGCGTGGGATACTCAGTCGGAGCATCACCTTGAGTGAACAATGGCTCAGAAATGTCAGAGGCAAAGGAAGGTAGCTGAGGAGGTCGATCAGTATCTTTTTCGCCCACTGGCTCCGCTACCTCATCGATAGATCGCGAAGTCTCATCCATCTTTGGCTCTGCTGAGACGACATCTTCGATTGCGGTTGTAGCTTCAGGCTGTTCAAAAGAGGGCTCCAAGTCTTTAGTCTCCCCAGCATCCTCGGTGTCTGGTCGATCCTCAGTTTGATCAATCTCATAAATCAGTTTATCTTCCACAGGCTCTGGCTTTGACTCGACATCTTCTCCCAGGCTCACTGGTTCAGACATCTCTGCAGGAGCTGACTCTTCCAATAGATCTTCCATGGTCTCCTCTAGTATAGGGGACAATTGATCACTGTAGGTCGGAGCATCTTGCTCTGTTTTCTCAAAGTCATCGCTTTCCGTAGCACTTGCGTCTTCGAGAGGCTCTTCCATGATTGTAGGTAGTTCGAACGGCGATGTTTGTTCAAAGTCCTGATCGGCGACTACCTCCTCTGAATCTTGCTCTTTTATTTCATCTCCAGCCCATTCACGATCGACAGCAGGAGATGCGTCTTGTGGAACTGACGCGAGCTCATCAGCGTGGGAAGTATGTGAGTCTTCAGTCTCTGGCGCGACGAGCTCATCGGTTACAGCAGGAGGATTAATCGGCGTCTCTTCTTCGGTTGGAAGCACCACATCAGCTACAAGAGCATCTCGATCTTCGACATCAGCATCATGATGCTCTTGTCCGGCCGATCCACCGGCAAGCTCTTCAGAAGTTGGCTGAGACTCTACATCGGCGGGTGCTGAGGTTTCTTCTTGCGAGGGAAGGAGAGTTTCAATTAGTTCTTCAACAACAGTAGCCTTGTCTTCGACTGGAGAGCTCTCCCTTTCGCCTCGATGGTCGGAATGCGGAATTGGCTCGCTATCAGTAGCGGCCCACTTGGCAAGCTCATCTGCTTCCTCGCTGGCATTCTCGACGACACCCGATGGAATATCTCGTCGCTCCTCGGTCTCCGCCAAAGTGGTAGTTTCAGGCTCAGCGGTTACAGCGTCTCCTTGCGTCTTCTCAGTTGTGGATTCTTCTGCAACCTCACGTGAGGTTTTTTCCGGGGCCTCAGTCGCTGACTCAGAGGCAACAAAGTCTTTAGCAACGTCAAGAGGTGTCTCTTCAGTCACTTCCATTGCATCAGCAGGCGTCGGCTCGATTGAAGGCCCGATGGTAGGCTCAACCTCGCTCCTCCCAAGCTCGGTAGGGGGATTGTGAAGTTCACTGGGAGTGGTCTCGGTGACAGAGTCCACAACTGGTGCGACAGTAGGCTCAGTAGTTTCAGTAGCAGGCTCAGCGTTTGTGTCGGTGGAGGCCTCTGCTGCTGCCAGGGCTGCTGCGGTGGCGGCGGCTGCGGCTGCGGCTGCAGTCTTGCTCTTCTTCTTCTTCTTTCTCTTCTTCTTCTTCTTTTTCTTATTCTTCTTCTTCTTTTTCTTAGAGCTCGATGAAATAACAGATGCAGCTCCGAGAGAATCAATAGACGCCGTCATATCACGAATTGCATTACCATCTTCATCAACACGTTTCGCGATTTCCAAATGTCCAAGTTCTTCATCCTCCTCCTCATCGGAGTCTTCAGAGTCTTCAGAATCGTCAGAGTCTTCTTCTTCATCTGATTCCTCCTCTTCCTCCGAATCATCTGAATCTTCAATAACCGTAGATACATCAGGCTTCTTTGGATATTCTTGCACGGGGGCCTCGGGGGCCGAATGAGGCGCCGCCTTGGGGATAGTACCGACAATAATTTCTTCAACTTCTTCCGGTTGCGATCTTTGAGTTGATTCGGCAAGCGGATCAGACAGAATCTCATCAGACACGGGTATAATATCGACAGGCTCAGTGTATGGTGCTTCAACATCCTCGTCGAGTGGCTCAAAAACAGAAATCTCTTCAGCAATTGATTCGAATTCCGGCTCAAGAGTACGAGTTTCGAGCTCCAATTCGTCTTCAACGGCCACTGGTTTTGGGATCATCTCTGGCGCCAGTGCCTTGTCTTCGGTCAAATCTTTTGAAAGAGACTCGGTTGATGGGATACATTTGACATCTGGACCAAAGCCCTTGTTGAAACTTATTTCTGGAACTTCGACGAATGAAGCCGCCGTTTCCTCGGCTGAAGGCTGCATGTATAGGCCGCGCTCGTCTGATGAAATGGACTTCTTACCCTTGTCTGGTAACTCCTGGGCCGCTTCTGATTGCAGGTCCGGATAGTTGCGGCTCCCCTGGCGGGTCTGGTCCTCTGGGACGCTCTCATTGCTAGGCAAAGTCTCAATCACCCTATCCATAGTTGCCAGTGCTGAATGGTCCGGTACCTTGTCCTCAAAAAATTTTGCGGGTCTTGAAAATTCAGGGATAGCGCCGAGCATCGACGGCTCAATGAGTGGCGGTTCATATAGATCCTCGTCGTGTACATCAGCAGGAGAGGTGCGTGCGGTTTCAAAGTCATCGGAAGCGTCTGCTGATGTTAATTCGTCGGGGCGTAGATAGGCGTCCTTTTGGGGTGAACGTCGACGTGTAGGAGTTGTGGGGCTCGGTATGGCCTGGGCGTCAACTGTCCTAGCCGATTGGCCTGATGAAGATGTTGACTTGACGGGAGCACTTTCGTAGTCGTCATTGAATCGCCTATCGTTGTCAGTAGGTCCAGCGGGCAGCTCAAACGCCAGATCGGCTTTTGGCGTAGACCCTTCGGATTCTCCCGATGCAACAGCTCTCTCGGCTGGAAGACCTTCAGTCTGGAGTCGAAGCCGGAAATCGTCGTCCGGGTAAGGCATTGGGGTTCGAAAGTCTTCGCCATCTCCACCCTCGGCTTCGCTTGTCACCTCGCTAGGGGGTAGTGGCGGCAGCTCTTCACTTTTCACGCTTCTGTCGAGGGATCCTCGTCGCGAATGCTCAAGAAGCATCAGAGGCATAAACTCTTTGGTGCTGTCCCAGGAAGTTGGACGGGGAGGGGTACGGGGAGGCTTGTTGGCAACAGGGCTGGGAGGGCCAGATCCGATGCCCCTGAGAAGTGCTGCGAGAGGCACCGCGGTGTTGCTGTGTGATCGGTTGCGGGCACTTGCTGCTAGATCTTGGTTGCTTCGCTGCCGGCGATGAACCTTGTCGAATCTCCGGTCTCGACCTTCTATCGGCGATGTAGGGCGACTGTCAGGCAGACCGGGTAGCTCACCAAAGTCGCTCTCCACGGGACTTCCCGGTTCGCTTGGGGGCAGAGGAAGCAAATCTCTGTATTGAGGGTCAATTGCGATTGCCCGAGGAGCAATCACGGGGTAATGATCGTTAAACTCTTGGTTCGAGCCAGAGAGTTCTCGCGAGATGTTCTCCGGTTCCGAGGAGACATCGGCGGCATTTGAGCGGTTCAAGGCCATTGCTGCGGCGGCAGCAAGGCTCGCTGGGCCGACACCCGCGCCTAGAGTGTCGGCTTGCTCAAAAAAAGAACTTCGCTTCTCATCAACGACCTCTGTTCGGTCGTTTTTGCCGCCAGGTTTATTGAACATGCCTGAGAATAGGCCGGGCTTCTTGTTGCCAGAGACTTTGCGGGGTTTACGCGATGAAACATGTTTCTCGCTGTTATCATTATGTCGTAGAGATTTGCTCTCCCGGCTTCTTGGCTTCCTTTCTTCATCGTGAGGCTCCGAGACTACGGAGCTCATGCCACGGTCATCTTCACGTTCATCCCCTGGATGCTCGCTGCCGTTGGTTTCAGGGAGATCAAAAGTAGAACTACGCGGGCGCCTTAATCGAGTGCTCCTTCTGCTAGAAGTCGACATCTCTGATCCAGCCAATAACGACCTTCTTGTGGACGCCCCAGGAGAACTGTCCCAGTCTTCCCAATCCTCGACGCTAAAGACGGTAGCTTCGTCGCCAGGTACTGAAATCCTGGAGATCTCTGTAGCCTCGTCTCCAGGAATGGACAACTTGGAGTTTTCGTCATCAGGACCTCGTCTCTTCTTCTTCTTTTTCTTCTTTGACTGAATGGGGGGTTCAAAGTCGGAAGCGTTCTCTTCTAGTTCGCGTAAAGCCTCCGGTTCGAGTTTCCTGATTGGTGGCCGTTCGGTATCGGATTCGTGTACTGGTCCAGTCTTCGCCTCAGGGGCTGGCTCCAATTCGCGCGACTCTCTGGCTTCTAGAATTTCTCGTGGTGGCTTAATCTCTCCCGACTGTCTCTTTTGGAGAAACGCCTCAAGTACCTTTCGCTGCTCGCTGTTGCTCTTTTGAGGGGGTGTGACTGGTCGCTCTTCCACGGTTGGCGGCTGGTCCGATTCCTGCAGCTGAGAGGGGGGCTTGATTTCGCCAGACTGCCTCATTTGAAGATATCTTTCCAGCGCTTTCACCTTTTTCTGCTTCTGGGTCTTCTCATCATGCTCGTCTTCCGTATCAGTCAACGAGAGATCCCCCTCGACCTCTATCTCCTCTCTTGCTCTCTGCTCATCTCTTTGGGTATCACTGGCAGGCAGGGGGGTCTCATTTGTTTCGGGCCGAGAGTTTCGGCGGCGAAAAGCCGGGTCGTCAATTACGATATTAGGATTAAACCCAGTCTTCTCCAGGCCAGCCGCTACAGTAGCAGCAAACTCTTCGTCATCAAAACTCCCAGGCATCTGCTCCGGCTCAGGATCGGGTATATCAGAGCCTGGAGCAGACGCATCGGCAGGAAGATCGCGACTGCCTGGCTCAGTGTTTCGATCAAGCTCGGAGATCGGTTCGGCGGTGCCGGCGGCGATCACGGCGGCGATCTTACCCCATCTGCTGGATTTGCTGAGACGGGGCCTGGGTTTTTCCTCCGCCTCAGCCAGCTCGTTTGGGGATTCGGCACGGCTGCGAGCCTCAGGAGATTCGACCACGAAGCGATTGATTTCGTTTTGACCCCAAGAGACAGACTTGCCAGTCGGTGACGAGTGAGTCGCTTCGCCCTTTGACTCGGCCTCTTCATCTTCTGACGAGTCAGCCAGTGATTCTTCTTCATGTATGTCTCGAGATGCAGGAATTTCCGTCGGCTGCTCTGGTTCTCGACGAGCCGCTGCCGTAGAATCGGGGCTAGGAACCGGAGTAGGACGAACAATGTTCAGAAGAGGGCGTTCACGCTCGCATGAGGGATCCTTGGATCTGAATCTCGGAGCATCGGACCCCTTGGCAGCTCTAAATTTGTCGGTTTCATAGGGGAAGATCTCATTGTCGATTTTGACATCGGCATTAGGGGCACCGTAAGGGTCGTCATCCTCATGTTCTTTGCCTTCCATGTTGGGTGGTGTGACGATGGTGATGTGCTCTTCAACAGGCGGCGTATCCCATTTGTCCACCACGGATCCATCCGGAGACTTGCTTTGAGACCGGATCTCATCAGAAGCAATCTTTCGAGCAATAACAGATTCGCGGTAGTATTTGTCAGCTTCCTCCTGGACGACATCCTTATGGGGCCGGCTTCGGTCACGAGAGCCATCATCAGAGTAGTCGCGGCGTCTGCGCTCTCGCGACCGCTCTTCTTCAACGGCAATGGCGGATGCGACTGCGACGGCAGCGACTGGAATCGTTGAACGTTTAGCTTCGTCTAGGATGGACCGAGCTTCTCTTTCCTCTTCTTCGTAGCCGTGGCTATCTCGAGGGTCTCTATGCCGAGATCCCGAATCGTTCCCTCTCCTTCTCTCCTCCTCTGCCATTTGGATGTCATATGTATCCTTTCGGCTGAGTCTGATATCTGGACGCGATTGCTGTCGCCCCGAAGACGGAGGCTGAGAAGATTCAGTGAAATTGGGTACACGTTCAACGGTCACAACCTGGGGTGTTAGAGGCCGGCGGGGAGTATTGAACTGGGGGGTGCTGAAAGCATCATCGGCAACCTGGTATTTGAAAGGGTCAATATCGGAGTCTGAAGCGGGCTGGGTTGGCCTCTCAATGTTTCCATCACCTGCCTTTGTCGTACGAGTGGACTGCTGCTGCTGCTGCTGCTGCTCCCGCTCTTGTTGTCTCTGTGCTTCTCGTAGTTCTGCTTCACGCCTCTCCACGTGGACGTCGTGTGTTGTCTGATACCTTAGAGTCTCCTTACGCTCTTGTGGATGAAGCTCCATCCAGGATCTACTTTCCTTGGACATGCCAGGCGCATCTTGATTAAAGTAATCCGGCATTTGGCGAGTAGCCTCGGATCGAGGAGAATCTACATCATCGTTTCGACGGTTGTAATACACCTCCGGATTCGCCCTCCGACGCTCTATCTCTTCAAAGGGCGCCTGGTCTCGCTGGAAGTAATCTTCATCAGCGTCTGGGCGCGTACGTTTCACATCATCGCGGTAAATGCGGTCTTCCGTCCAGGGACCTCTTCGATCTGCCATACGAGCTGCGGCGGCGGCTGCTGCTGCTGCGACGCCGCCGCCGAGTGTAGGATCAAGGCTCTCTTCATTGGAACGCTGGCGGCGATAGCTGTTTCGAGAATCTCGGCTGCCAGCTTCAAAGACCTTGTTTGAGACAGGGACCATGGGAATTGGCTGCTGAAGGGGGACAGATCCCGGGCGATGAGCGGAATCGGCCTGCGATTCGCCGGTAGCTGGTCGGTCATTATCATAGCGATTGAGACTATGTCGCCCTGAGCCTGTGGAGGATGGTGCTAGCTGTTGTTCGTCTCCAAACCCACAGGGGGTGTGCACCAATCCACGTAATGAGTTGACCGGTCCAAAGAGCCTTGGATCCACAACGGAGCTCTTCCTGCGGTGAGCTATCGGACGGTGAGCCGTCTGATATGACTCGGCGGCAGAAGCAGCAACCGCGCCGGCAGCCGCTGCCGCGGCTCCAGCCAAGGCAACATTGGAACGCGAAGACTCGTTGCCGCCGTAGGCCAGATGCAAAGCGCTCTCGTCACTGGATGAGCTCTCGGAGGAATCGCCGTCATCGTCAGATGCCGACTCCCAGTCTGATTCATCAGAAGACGAGTCACGATGCTTCTTGGAGCCGGAAAGTCCTCGCTTTTTACCGTCTCTTCTGCTCTTTCGTAGTGCAGTGATGGCAGCGGCGGCAGATGCTAGTCCAGAAGGCCGGTTTTTGCCAGCAGCGCGCAGGTCCTCCTCGTTGGACTGCCGTGCCAGATCCGAGAGTTGGCGGCCAATGGCGAGAATCTCCTCGTCCGTCTTATCACGCTTCTTCTCATTGAGGCGCTTAGGGGAACGTCTGCCAGAGACTGCGCCCGGATATTGCTGCGGCTGCTGCGCGCCAGATACAGTAGAGCCAGCAACAGAGCTGCTGTAGCGCGTAGACTTATCCTTTTCCTTCCTCACAAAGCCCGTTCCATAGGCCAAGTCTGAGTTGATGGATGAATGAGACGAATTGCTTCCGCCACCAAAGAAAACGCCGCGGCGCTTCTTAGTGCCACTTCCCCTGCGCCGCCGACGCCGACGCTCTGACGGCGCCTTGATAAAAGCGCTGAAGAAGCCTCCATACCGCCCGGTCGGATACTGTCGCGAGATCTCCAGGTATGAGGATGAGGAAGAGTTGGACGAGGATAAAGAGCCGGATGAGGCCCTGGATCGGGGCTGGAGAGCATCGTGCGGCGTTATTGCCTGCTGCGGCATTGGCAGCGACGTCGGCTGCGGAAACGACTCCTGGTATTTCTGCTGGTACTGCTGGTGCTGCTCGTATTGCTGCTGCTGGTGCTGCTGGTATGGCTGCGACGGGAACTGCTGCGGCGGGTATTGCTGCGGCGGGTATTGCTGCGGCGAATATGGCTGTTGCTGCGACGGTGGTGATGGCTGATATGGCGGCTGTTGCTGTTGTTGCGGTGGTGGTTGATACGGCTGCTGCTGTTGCTGTGGGCTGTCGGCGCTGTAGCTGCCCGGCATCTGCTGAGCCGTGATGTTCGTAGGGGAGTACATGCTGGCGGCAGGATCCTCGCGCGACTGTCGCTTCTCGCGCCTCCGCCTCCTGGAGCTCTCCAGGCTCCGGCGGCGGGGAAGAGGCATCGTGAGACCAGCTGATTGGGCGTCTGGTCGCTCTGCCAGTAACGGGGATGATTTTCTTTACTGTTCCCTAGCTATGAAGGAAAGCAAAGGGTCAATCAAACCACCGCCCGGCTTGTTTTTTTGTTTTGGTTCCAAAGGGAAGACGAGCTGATGGAACTAGGCTGGACGCCAAACCTCACCCCAGTCGACCCGACCCGCTCCGTGGACAACCGGTGGCTGGGGCGACAGCTCCCAGAAGAGGCAGAGCAGCGACAAGATGCAACGAGAGCGCTAGAGAGGCGAGAGGGCCTCGAGCAGTGGCCGACCAGGTTGCTGTGGCTGGCGGTCGGGCCAATCAAGCGTCGCGGCGTCGGGCCTTAGCGGCGTGGTTCAGCTGGCAAAGTCGGACCAGGGAGCGATCACAAGAGCTCGGCCAGACAGAAAAAAGGGGGCAGGTTTGGCGATGGTATCGAGATCTGGAAAAGAGGCTGTAGCTCGGCAGGACGCGAGCGAGCGAGCTGGGGTAGCTCTTAGGCTTGGAGACATATGGGAGCGTTTGGCGTTTAGGCGGCTTAAGCTCTAGGCGTTGCTGTCTTGCTACTGTCGCACTCTCTTTCTCTACAGTCCCCAATGCCAAAAAAAAAAATGGAAGATTAACGCAAATAGTAATCGACAGCTTCTTCTCTCTTCTGCTGCAGAAAATGGGACAAGCTTGCACATGCTTGTGCTTCTTGCTGTGGTACGTGCATAGACCGGTGGGGTCGCTCATATTAAGCGTGTTAATGCTGCTGAGGCTCTGTATCAATTCGGCAAAGTCCCTTGATTTGCGTGGTGGAGCTGCTCGTATCAGGTAAGCTCTGTGCTGGCCCCCCCGTAGCCTCAGGCGTTACAGGTGCAAATGTCTCACCCTGTCTGACCAAAGAAGAGCAAAGCCGCCAATAATGCTTCGCAAATCTGAGACCTGACCGCCACTACGTGTGTTTTTGGGTTGATTCTGCAGCCCCGCTTTTCTGCCAGTTGGCACTGCGGTGCTGTGTCTCGCCATATCGGGACCTCCTTAATAGCGGACAAAAAAAGCGATACAGCGCTAAAACAGCTACTCGGATCAAGCATCAGAGCCTCGAAACCTACCCTGCATTGTTGGCTCAAATTTGATGTGATCTGCCAGTCAAAATAGACAGATGGATGAGCTTCTGTAATTCACATCAAAAGTATGCATTGCTGGTAAAGGTACATGTAGGTCATGATGAGTTTGATGTGGCGCTCTCTGCTCTGTTGAGTGACTTACACGGGGGTATCTCGTCATATGCCTCGCTTTAGCCAGCTCTCTTCTTCCCCTCACATCCATTATGCCCATAGTGAGACAATGTCTCTGATAGACGAGCCATTCAAGACCCCTCACTTACACACAAAGCAAGGAAGAGCAAAGACAGAAAAGAAGTGCACCCTACAGTGCTCCCACATCAACTCGGATGTTATTTGGCAAGAGGTCTAGTGAATTGTGGACCTAGGCGGGCGTACGTGAATTTAGACATAGGTATACCGGCATATCTAATATGAGTATAGTCATAAGAATGCAGCGCCCTCTTATCTAGCCCCGAGGGATGCAATAATTAACTTCTTTACCAAGAAAGCCTTGATCGGACGCGCATTCATATTGGCCAAGACTCGCCGCCGTACATGCTCAAGAAAGGGAGAAACTATCCGGAGCCCCAATTTCATTATCCCGGCTGCAGCGCAACAAGGCAGCCGGTCTACATATCAAAATACATCTACAAAACTGCTGAATACATTTGAAAACAGCAGTAGCAGCAGTAATTGTAACAGTAGTAAAAGTAATAGAATAGTCAAAGCAGTAAAAGCAGTAAAAGCAGTAAAAGCAGTAAAAGCAGTAAAAGCAGTAAAAGCAGTAAAAGCAGTAAAAGCAGTAAAAGCAGTAAAAGCAGTAAAAGCAGTAAAAGCAGTAAAAGCAGTAAAAGCAGTAAAAGCAGTAAAAGCAGTAAAAGCAGTAAAAGTTAATAACGCTATGCACTCTGCCGTCTCAAATCAATGCTTTATTCACTCGAGTTCTTGCCAATGTGACGCAATCCGTTTACTGCTGTGAATAATCCGTCACGCGGAAATGAGGTTATAAGATGCTCTCATTCATTTCGCTTTTGCTCCTTGGAACTTCTTCCTCACACCTCACATGACTCCTTTATAGTAAGTTATCTACAAGATAACACAACGGCTCCCAGCTCTTTTATCGCTAATTAAGTATGCACCGTGGCTTTGGAATACAATGGAGTTTACGCGTTTCCTCGACTGCCCACCGAAATGCGACTCGCAATCTAGGGGTTCGCAGTTCGAACCGATGGCACATGCGCCCACTTTCTCACCATTGATTCTTTATCCGACACTGGAACGGCGTCCAAGACAAAAAGTCCGGCTCCAGCGATGACGTTGGCTTGTGGCTTGCCTGCCAAGAGTCACTTTAGGTCTACGTCGAGGCCTATCGACGGCTGCAAGTCCGGCATAAATCTGATGCGCAGGGCTTGACCGACTTCTCTTTTGAGCGCTGCATTAACAAGTCTCAGCTGGTGGCCGGCGTATTCGCTCTGTAAACAATGTTGAGAAGTCCAAGTTCGTTCGGAAGCTTGCTGCGCTTTCTCCTACTGACCCAGAGGTAAGTTTGCTTTTATACTCGCGCGAACTAATACTAACCCTTTTGCAGAGTGCGCGCACCGTTGTCGTCACAACTTATTCCAAGCTTACATGCAAGAGAGATTGCAAAGTCTGAGAATAAATTCATCATCCAAGAGCGACGAGAGGAAGGAAACGCTCCTAAGCGTCGGAAGAGTGATGCTAGAGCTGCCAGCGGCACCGACGAGGATCTCGTCCAATGCAAGCCAACCCGCAAGGAGCTGGGTTCCATCCGATGGCTCATGCTGGTGGTTGATGAAGTACACAGTTATGCCACTAACGCAACAATATTGGCGTAGTAAGATACTCATCTCCGAAATGGACCTTTATCCGAATTTATCCGCCTGTTCGAATGAGACACAAATATTCTCAGAGAATATGAACTGAGCCTGTTTTGGATTATATTACCACATGGCGTCGCGAGGACGAGATCTTCAACAACATGGCTAGGTTATTGGGATGTGATCACCTGCTCTGGGTAACGGGCACGCCGCTCATGAGCAGCCTCAAGGACATAATGTCCCCCTTCGGGTTGATCTGGAGGAAGTGCTGAATGCGACCTGGAAGACACCGCTGACAAGATCAATTGGAGAGTTTGTGGCACGGGGACTAGGACGCCAAAGAGCGAAAACAAGCTCCCTGGCGATGTCAAGACCCGTGGAAGCTTCTCAGAAATGTTCATGGCGGAGAGCCAGTGTCCTGGGTTGGTCAGCACAAAGGCAATGTATGAAGATACGGTGGTTGTGATCCCACGTTGGTAAACTCCCGAACAGTGGGCGTCGAGTATCTCCAGAAGCTGTTGACATTCGACAACAACGTTGGCCTAGATCATCCTGTTCTCCAGGACCCTTCGCGGGACAGGAGCTATCCCTTCGGCGAAAGTGTCGATATTATTTAACTGCAGGAGACGGCCTTGGGCTTCTTCACCCGCCTTCTATCGCTGAGCACCCTACGAAGTGTCACCGCCTGGCTGCTCGATCGTCACTTTCGCCTCCCAGCTGACGTTTGTGGTTGAGCGAAGACCGTGACGAAGACGAATGCTCTGATATTACTTTTGTAAGAAAAGCTATGCAGCACTCCAATTCTATTACCCAGCACTCTAGCTATATCGTGGGCTACTGCTGCTACTGCTGCTGTTTTTACCACATATATCTATACTTATATACAACCTAATAGTTAGATATTGATTCTCACAAGTAGATTAACGACATGTACTTTACTAAGCTATAGCTGGGATGTTAAATATAAAAAAAAACTTGGGTGCTGGATAACTTTTTCTGTAATAGAACAGTGTTTCAATTTTTAACTTGGGTGTGTATTTTTCCTTTGCGGTCCCCCTTTTCTTCGCAGCCTTGGCCAGCTCAACTATCATCCCCCGAGTACTGCATCCTGTCCGTCATTAAGATCTTAGGCAAGAAAATACCGACCATATTTGGCGCGACCGCATTTTCATGCCATTTACAAATACTCTATACATGCTTAGCGAGCACTGGTATACCTACATTCTGATATATGAACTAGACTCTCAACGCCACTATCCGTTTAAACATTGTGTTCGTGTCTCGAAGGTGAGGCTTATAGCCACGACGCAATAAAACAAGGCGATAAACAACTCTGCCAAACTCAGAACCAAGCATATGATGCGGAAAGGTTCTATTTCTATCCATCATTCTGATTTCAAGGCGATGATTGGATCTATCAAGGAGCCAGCACAAACCTTGATACCATCACCAGCCATAAAAGCCACCTTACGCAACCTTGAGCACAATATCACGCTGGGATACAAAGACGTCCCAATCTTTACTGATATACACTGCAATAATATTACAAAAGCTCCTCAAAAAAAAAGAAAAGTAAAAGATCCACCTGATAGATAAGTCCAACTCTCAACAAAAAGCCTTTCGCACATATCTTACAGGCCCACTTGCTCCAGCTTCTCTCCCTCAGTATCCCGGCACTGCCCTCGCCTTCACATGCAGCCCCTTGACCGGCCTCGCCGTCACATTCCCCTTAATGTCCAGCTTCTCCATATCCATCTCCTCCTTGTTCACCAGCTCAAACTCGAAGCGCCCAATCCACGCCGCCAGCAGACACGCAAACTCGCCCGTCGCAAACGTCAGGCCGATGCAGCTCCGCGGGCCGTGCAGAAACGTCATGAACGAGTAGTTGCTGTCCGCGCCGCCGCTCGCCGCGCGCCTGTTGCTCTCCTCCGAGTCCTTGTTCTTGGAGATCCACCGCTCCGGATCGAACTCGAGGGCGTCGGCGCCCCAGAGCTTCGGGTCCACGTTGACGGCGGTCGGGGCCAGCACGATGCGGGTGCCCTCGCGGACGGGCACGTTTTGGATCGTGGTGTTGTACGAGGCCTCGCGGATGGTGACCGGGACGGGGCTGAAGAAGCGCAGCACCTCGCTGCACACGGCGTGGAGGTACGGCATGCGGTCAATGTCCTGGCTCGCGAGCTTGGCGCCGGCGTCGTCGGTCGAGGGCAGCCTCTCGCGGACTTCGGCGCGCAGCCGGGTCTGCATCTCGGGGTGGCAGCAGAGGAAGTAGATGGCCCAGGTCAGGGCCGTCGCCGTCGTCTCGTGGCCGGCGGCCAAAAACGTCATGAGCTGGTCGACCAGGTTTTCATCGGAGAACTGTCCGCTCTCCAACGCGACAGAGAGAATGTCCACATCTGTGCGCTCCTTGTTTGCAATCATCTTCTCCTTCTTCTCGCGGATGACGTCCCGGCACATGGCTCGGATCTTCCTGGCAGCGTCGTTGACCTCTCGGTTGCGCTTCAACGGAAGCCGGTAGATCAGCCAAGACGGCACCAGAGTGGCCAGCATGATCAAGAACTTCGCCGGCGGTCTCGGCTTGAACAGATAGCCATACGTCTGCACAAGGTCGCTGTTCTCGTCCTGGATCGAGTTAAAGTCCTTGCCCAGGCCAGCAACGCCGATGATGTCGAGCGTCACCCTCGACGCCCACTCGCTGATTTCCATGTCCGTCTGGCCCTCCTGGCCACATTCCTTCATCATGGCCTGGACAGACTCACGCGCCTTGTCCCAAAAGAGAGGATACAGCTCCTTGATGTGCCGGAACGCAAAGGCGGGCATCAGGTTGCGCCGCTGGTGCCTGTGCTCGTCTCCTTCTGCGAGAAGCAATCCATAGCCCAGGAGGCGGCCGAGCAACGATCTCACATTCTCGGGCTTTCTGAACGCGTAATTGTTTGTGACAAGCACCTCGCCCAAGGCTTTAGGTGAGGTGACAATCAGACGCTCCTTATTGAAGAACCAGTAGTACCGTATAAGTCCCTCATTGGGAACAGTAGTCACCCTGTAAGTCCCCCAACACACCCAGCTCATTAGCCATCCATGCCAAGCATTCAGCAACAGGGGTATGATTTATGCAAGATCAAACTTACCATTCTCTGATTGGCGCACCAGGCTTGGAAGCCATGATTTGCTTTCCATGTCCCATCAACCAATGCCCTCCCGGGGCCGTAGGCACATTTCTTATGGGCGAGAAAAAGGTTGGATACAGAAACAGCTCGTAGATGGCGTATAGAAACAGCTCCACGAACCATATTCCAGCGGCAGCCTTGATAAACGGCCCTCTGGACCACGCTTCTTGCGTTGTGTAAGTCCATCCGGCGCCACCAACAAGGGCCGCAGTCGTCAACAGCTTGAGTGCCATGGCCTCAACCTGCCGTCTGCTCTGACGAACTTCTCAGTCAGTGCGCGAGCGATTCTCCGTCCCGCGTATGGATGTCCCCTTTCGCCTGCCAATTGCCCTCTTGTAAAACAAGTAGTAGCCACAAAAAGAGGGCCAACTGTGGTAGTTGCGAAGTAAATAAAGAAGAAAAAAAGTACTAGAAGAAAAAGAAAACCAGGCCCTCCCCTTTTCCTTGTCAAGAATCCCAGGTAGGGGGATGGAAATACGGAAAGTAAGCTAAACAAGGTTTCGGGGAATAGCAATAGTCTCAATCCGCTCCGAGTTTTTCTGGTTTCGCGAGGAGTCACAGGATTTAAAAACAGAAAAAGGTGCAAGTTGAGTTGTTCGGTTCTTGATAACCTTGAAAACCTTCACCAAAAAAAGTAAACAAGTAGGGCGTTGAAACGCGCCGCGAACCTTGCTTGGGCTTACGTGCCGTGCTATTTCTCGATAAGAGATTTAGTTGCTCCCGTGGCTCCCTTTTAAACCCAAATCTTAGTAGTAGCACGGCTATGATCGACAGTCATAAGAAAACAAAGAGATGAAATTAAAAAGAACCAAAAAATTTCAATGATGAAAGCGCAGCGTGTGAGCTAAGATAAAATAGTACCCTCTCCACCTCGCTCGCCGTCCATCGCCTTCCCAAGCTCTTCTCGCTCCAAGCCCCCCCTTTGTTTCTGTGTAAATCCACGAATGCCGTGCCCGTAATACGCCTACCCGGGGCATCGGCATCCGCAATCTCCAGCTTTAGCTACCTCCATACTTTGTAGCTACCAATTTAGCGGCACTCGCTGGGCCTATCCAGCTCTTTAATGACCGGGATTCCGGCACCGCGTTCTATGATTCCATGTTCCCTGTTCCTTGTCAACTTTTTGTGGTCAACTACCTTTAGTACCCGTAGATTGTACTATCCAGACCACCAGACTACGCCGGATTCAAAAGCAAGCCAAAACGGACAAGGTAAATACTAAAAACAAGTTGGTCCGGCGCATACACAGTAAGACGGGGTTAAAAACAAGATTAGCCGTATCTACATCGTATTGTATCTTAAACGAATGATGAAACTGACGTACGAAGTCCATGGGCGCGATTATGCCACACATACGTAATACGACGGACACGGAATTTCCACTTCCAGATACCACATGTACTGTAGCTCTAGGTAAAGCCTTTTGCTCCAAAGTATGCGCTGCAAATGCTAAAACTGCTGCCCAAGAAGTGGTGGCGTTCCCCTCCAATTCCGAACAGCTTCGGTCGGTCTCAATCGTGATACCGACCGGCATTCAGCCAGAAGTCGCTGCCCTCCGGCTCCGTCCCTGTCTCTCTGGCGAAAATCGCATAATTGCGGACACCCACGAGGCAACTGGCCCTTCCAGCCTGCAAAGCATCAACTCCAGCTCAGCTCGAATGGTAATTCCCGACCCGTCCGCTGGTGCTACTACCTACTAGGTAGTAGGTATGGACAAGGTGCTGCTAATGGCGTCTCGCCAAGCCATATCGACTCTGCCCGAATAGGCAACAAGAAATACAGCAGGATTTACTAGTACTTAAGATCCAGTTTAGCGCATGCTGCTCTGTGCCGACCGCAATCGATGTTATTGTCTTAAAAAGACTGATACTGCTCTTTCTACCTGACCGCAATTCTCATAATCATTATAATTACTGGGCTGCGAGACACATCAAGTGGCTGATTGATGTATATCAAGCTTGACAAATAAATTAGCAGAAATTGATTCGCTACACTTTAAATCACCCGCTTAATGCGCCCTCGCTATGTAATAATAACCCAGGAAAGCAAAGAAAAAGAAGAGAGAAGAAAAGACGTGTCCTCGTCCAAGAGCTGCAGTTTTGGAACCCCGGAACAACAACCATGTACACAAACAACCAGTTATCGCGACCCGCCCGTTCTCATGGAAATTAGCCAAACCCTCCGAATTCGTATCAAGAAAAAATAAGTTGCCCAAAACTCCGGACTCAATGGAAAGCAAGCAGAGCGAGGAGGACAAAGGGACATGAGCTCCCATAAACCCGTGTACATATCAGTGCCGAGCCACAATTCAAAGGGAAAACGCACTCATTTCCTTTCTGAGCTGCATCTTCTCACCACGGTCGATTTCTACTCTGCGCTGTTGACGGAGCCATTGATGTCTCGGCTGGTCCACGTCCAGCATCTTCCGGGCTCTGGCTGCTTTCGCCCTCTCTAGCATCTGCACCGGGGATCGTTGCGCTCGGTTGACTCGGGCCATCAGATTGCGGAGGCGGCTGGAGAGGTGGCAAACTACTTCGGGAACCTCTCTGTCTTCGATTAGCCCTCTGTAGAGTTGTACGAGACGACCACTGGCTGAATCTTGACACATCGCGCAGAGAGGCTCGGATTGGCGAAGCTGGCGCGCTCGATGAGTCCGATGGTGTATTTTCACCGTCGACAGCGGACAAATCCGTTTCTCTGCTGCGGTGTAGCTGCTGTTCAAGTATAGTAACAAATTGAGCTTCAACAACTTCTTCTTCGTCATGTATAACAGGAGGCATGAATCCCAAGTCCCTCTCTAGCGACGTCGTCGTCCTATGGAAAGAGCGTTAGTCCGATATCCAGCCTCAAGTATTTGGGAACTGGGCTAACGCAACCCTGGAGGTCCTGGAGGCTCTGGAGGAACAGAAACTCGAGCTCGAGCTCTCATAAGAGTCATGTAGGCTTGGGCTCTTCGGGAGTCGAGCCCGTGCTCAAATCGTAGTACCAGTTTGTCGCGACAATAGGGGCAGCTGGCAGACTGGTTAAGCCATGTCTTAAGACAGTAGTCTCCAAAGACATGTTTGCATTTTGGTAGTCGTCGAGGTGCCTCCCTTATACCCTCGGGGAGCTCTATGCCATATTTGTTGTAGCAAATGGAGCATTCTAAACCTTCATGTTAGCCATGTGTTTCACTTACAATTTCATGACGCATATAACGCCTGAAGGGGGCCTGGGATTGAGGAAGTGAAGTGGCCGTGTTCGCGGCTGACGTACCTCTATCTTGCTCAGGCAGGTCTTCGACTTTTATGCTTAACGAGTAATGCAAAAGCATATCCGTGGACGAAGTCTTGGACAACGGACGAGTAGGACTATTGTCCGCGGCGGCTGCAGGCTCTTGGCCCGTTTGATGATCCGGCACACCCGGCCGGTGTTCATTGCTGTTGTGGCCGCCGTCTTCCTCGGTATCTCTGTTTAGGCCTGGTGCCACTGGGCGCGTGTTCAACGACGACCGCCGTGCTCTACTGGAGTAAGTCGATCTTCGATGTGGCGGCGGCCCCAAAAAATCGTGGTATACGGGCGGTGCTGTATCGAGTAGAATGTTAGCACTGAGGAAACGAAGCACCACTGCTACGACTTTGGCAGCCATGGCTACGGAAAAGGCGTAAGCAAATTCCGCATCACTTACACGAAGGCGAGTAGAAGCTTTGTGTGCGTGCCACGCGCGATGCAAGTCGGCGATTATATGTGGCAGAACCCGCCGGCTGAGGATCTAACCCTACTGGCCCTGCTGGCCCTGCTTGATACATCGGTGGCGGACCTACGTAGTAGGGCAATGCTGGTATAGTTCCATCCAGCCCTGTGCCGGCATGCATTCCCATCCCCATATTACTTTCGGGAGGTTGCGACGAATACCCCGACCCTACGGCTGGCTGTCCCGGCATTAGCTCATACCTGAGCCCGCCTGGCATATTCATCATGCCGCCATAGTTGGGCGGAATAGGAGATTGCATTGGGTGAGAAGCCCACTGGCCCTGGTGAGACATGTACAACCCTCCGTTGGGATGTGGCAGAGTATAGCTCTGAGATATGGGATTTGGCAACAAAGGTCCACCACTGAAACCCATTTGATAAGGGTCGAGGGTCGTACTAGGTCGACCCAACGAATGGTGAGCCCGAGGTCGGGGAGCATGGTTTTGTCCCAAATATGCTTGTGATTGTGGCCCCGATGGATGGATTTGTTCGGGGGGCACCCACGAGGGCGTCGGCGGTCCATTGAGGGGTTCTGGATGGTACGGCCTCCCTGGGTGAAGCGTTCTATCATTGGGATTGTCCATTACAGGCTATCCGCAGCCTGGTGTCGATGCACCGCTCTCAAAATGGCCATGCACCGAGGTGGCACACTCGCTCCAAAGCTTTTCGCTGGGAAGACCGTAAGAAAGTTGTTTTCGGCCTGGAAAAAAGATATGAGAAATAAAGAGCGATCAATGAAGGCGATCCAAACACCACACGTGAGAGGTAGCAATAAATAATAATAAACCGATAACAGTGTTGTCTTGGAAAGATTATGAGGTGTGATCCAGTACCGAGGCCGGAAGTAGGGACAACAAGAGCAGGATCCTTGTTGTAGTCGTTAATATCGGGAAGCAGATCTAAGGTCGATAGTAGCCAGAGCTCCGGGCAAGCAGTCTAAGACTCATGAAGAATATAGATGTCTTTAGGATGGCGGTAGCGACCGACTCAGTCACGCTCGGGTGTAGTTCCTCCAGCAGAGCCTTGGGGAAAGCCCTTGGGGAAGTCCTTGATCAGGCGGAAGTTGGAATAGAGGCCAGTTTGGGCAAGATCTGATAGTAGCTGCCTAACAAGAGACATGCAGTGGCCGAGTGTTTAAGAGCTGCAACGGGGAGAGAACCAAAGGATAGCTTGGGCGCGCAGAAGCGATATAAGCCGATGCTTCGGAGACTGAGAGAATAAAACTGCAGGTTGAAGACCGAACAGGCTTCCGTTTTCATGAGATGCGAAGACGGATACGTTTATATATATCGCGGGGCGCAACAGCCGTAAATAGACTCAGGCGTCGAATGTGGCCTCCTCGGTTGGGCGCTGCCTGTCTACTTTCCACTGCCGGCGAACTCGGAAACTCTTTTTCTCTGGGATTGCGTTTTTGCCAATTATGGCTTGCACTTGCGCTACTGCTTGGGAGCTACTCCCTGGTAGCTACAGCAGCTCTCTTTCCCACCCCTGGATAATAACAGACGTCGAAGCCTGAGCGTCTCGAGCTGTCTGTATCGAGTCGTTGTCTTTTAATGGTTTTAATATATCAGTACATGAGGCTTTCAGTGTAGATCTTTATTGTAGATGCCCAACGCAGAAGGCCAACGCAGAAGGCCAACGTCACGCGGGGCTGACGTTGCGCGGGGCAGAGCTCGGCGATATTTACAGCAAGATTTTGGTTGCTAGATAAACAACAGTTCCGCAGAGTTCTGGCCTGTCTAGGTAAACGCCCTTTTAAGAGGCGCACAGTGACGAGAGCCTTCTGGGTTCCTGCCTGGGTGGTGGCTTCCAGCTTCCCACGTATCGGCCAAGGTACGCCAAGGACTACCGCCAGGGTCTTTGTTTGGGCTTTGGCTGGCCTGGCAGCGGGGCGCTGATTCGGTGGCCGGAAGCGTGGGCGGATAACGTTCGATGGCGAAAATCAAGCAGAGGCCGACGATGGCTTCAGAAGGAGAGGAGTGCGAGGAAGCTAGGGCGACGTAGGCGTGCGGAGGAAGGGCGAGACGTGGGAGGACCGGCTGGATAAGAAGGCTGCAGCGGGAGAAGGAGCAAAAGTTCAAGAGGCAAGGGCAAGAGGCAAGGGTAAAGTAGGGAAAGGCAGGAGCTGGAGCGAAGCTGAAAGTAGGAGAGCGCAGGCAAGTGCAACCGGCCTTGCGGGAGGTGCAAATGGCAAGAATAGAAAGAAGAAGGATGGAGGAAAGAAGGGAGCTCGGCAAGCACGCGTGATAGCAAGAAGAAGATTAACAGGTAACCCACCTCAGGTCATCCATTCAGTCAAGCATGCCACGGGCTGCACCTACACTGATCATCAAATCAAATCAATCGTCCCCAGCTGGAGCTCCAGCCAAGTCGGGCCCGTCTGCGTCGTCCTCGGGGCGCTGAAAGTCTCAAAGTCTCCATCGGCTCGTCTGTCGAGCAAGCAGACACATTGGCACAGGCATCGGATGAGCCGCCCTTTGCTTCTGCTGGGGGCGCGCAGAGCCCTCGAGGCACGCACCCGCATACACCAGACGCTACCAGTCGCATGCCGGCAGGAATTTCGTCCTTGGACCGCCAACAATCTCCACGGCGGACATTGCTGTTATTGGTACACGGCCTTGCTTAGCCTTCATGTACTGTGTCGTCGCACGTTCTCCGTGCTAGCAGCCATAAGACACCTCATTCACCGCGCGAGACTAGTTGGGTTGCAAGTGGGCAGGCAATACATGCCGAGCCCGTGCGCGTGCAAGACGCCTGGGCGACAAAATACGGCGATTTGCATCATATACGTACATGGCGGCGCGGGGCACAGAAACGGGGGAAACCAAAGGCAAAAGTCTGAGGGAGGCTTTGAAACCAACGCCTAGCCCGAGGGATGGACAAAAGGGCAGATTGGGCCTCTCACCTGATGAGCTGCATCTCATTGCCTGACGTGCACGTCGTGGGCCCAGGCTTCAGGCCACCCAAAGCAACGGCGGCACGAATCGGCCAGTCGACTTGTCTGCAGTCAATGTGTGCTCACGAAGCAAGCACAAGGGGAGCCAGGGAATGCATCGGGGTCGTCAGCCCAAGTGGTAACATCACATGAGTAGCATCTTCGCCCGAAGGGACGGCGGGAAATGGTGCCAGCCAGACAGGGACGGTCGATCAATCAGCTCGAAACGATAAAATTGGCCCTTGGCTTTGACCCGGTCAGCTTTGGGCTCCGTGATTGGGGCGCCCAAATTTTGCGTGTGTCGCACTGCTCTCGCCTCTTGCTCTCATGTGGCGGCGGACGTGGGTTCGAACTCAGCAAAGACGTTGTCGCCATGACGAAGCAATTATTCTAGCTTTTGCCAAATTCTTTTGGGAAAATATATTCTAGCCTTGAGTCTATGCCTACTAGTCCTTGGGATGCTGATATGTTTACCGTACCTTATCTTGCTTATATACAAACGCGGACACAAAGGTATACGCCCCACCGGAGTCAACCGGGCCGCCCGGTGGTCTTGTCCGAATCTCCGGAGACCTTCCAGATTCGGCCACGACACGGCGGCTATATATATCTGGTTCTTCTCATTGGGCTTCTATACTTCCATCGTCGTGGCTACTTTCTTGATGCCCTTTCTCTATCTCACCTCTACTCCTCTTCGCTTGGAGTGTTCGGGGACCTTTTGTTTGCCCCCTTCGCTCAAGCATACGCGCTATGTCTAGGTATGCAGCCGTTGGGATGGGGTCTCCGTCACGGCCGTGAGGGGTATCTTGCTGTAGGGATGGATGAATGAGGGGCCACGCCATATTTGCGGAGGCGCATCAGCTCTTTAAAAGCCCAGCCCTCGCTGGCTAGCAATGGCCAAGGAGTGAATAGCTCTTTCGCCTAATGCATCGGAATCTACCATCAAGCCATTACGTGACCATGTGAATGCCTGGCTCACGCAGCACCGAAAACAGCCCCTCCTGCTTGGCCCATGGTACATAGAGCCGAGCAGCATTCCTTGCGGCCTTTTTACACCAGCAAACCGAACATTCGTCACAGTGAACGCGGGAACATCAGCCGCATATAGAATTATGGCGACCAACCCAGCTTGTTGGACCTAGCAAAGCAAAGCAGTGTGTCGCTCCATCACGGCAGCCATCCACTGTGCTGTCTCCATGTATGGCTGGCTCATCAACTTTGGCTATTTCTTTTGAATGCAGCTGGCCGTCTGACATGTCACCCACCTTGTCTGGCGCCCTACATCACTAGACTCTCCTTCCTTGATGCCGTACCATCGTGTCTTAGCTGCTGAAGTTTACGGAGCAGATACTTTTCTACTACGGCTAATTTTTTGGCGGGCGTGATGGGAAGGTTTCGGAGTAGGGGATGAGACCAAAAAAAAAAAAAAGAAAAGAAAAAAAAACGAAAGACTTGGAGCCTTTTGTTGATCGACTTCCTGTTTCTCTCTCGGCTGCGTTTGTATACGAGCCCTGTCTTTGTCCAACCCCGAAACTGGAACCCTGAATCACAAGATCCCCGCTGTTGTCGTTGACCAGGCGGCTTCTGCGCTAATATTTCATTAATGTGTTTCTTCCCACCCTTGCACCAATATTTGCCCAAATCACAGTCGCCGTCCATTTTCTCTCCCCAAGTGGCTTTTCTTATGATTTGGTAAATACGTAAACCTCTCCCTAGACACATATTAACTCGGACCTATTCCAGCGATTGCACTCGGTGCTCCTCTATTGCTCACCACTAATCAAACTACGTATTATAGAGAGTCAAGTGCCGTAGAGACAATTGAGTCAACCTTGTATCTGATAGGAAACTCGGGCCAGAGCTAGATACAGCCAATACCCCTCTCACCCCTCTCACCCGTTTCACTCTTTGTCAGGACCAGGCATGATTTACAGTAGACTTCGCTGCAAGCTGCTTAAAAGTGCTCTTTTGCTTTATTTTCGCTAGTGAAAAGGCTCGCGCCGTATGCTATTCTTGAGGCAGCTCCAACCCAAGTCGTACCCCGTATTCGTGTATTGTCGCCACAACACTAACGACTGGCTAATACACGCCAAACATTGACTGAAAATGCCTAGCATACCTTAGTAGGTAGATAAAAGGAGCACGCGAGGTTGATTGTTGAATTCACGGTTTGCCAACGGCGCCATGCTTGACGTGAGTCATTCTTTATTATCTATAGTAATCTGGCGAGTCGTTTCTCTTGCTAGTAGTTATGTTGTTTGTTAAGCCAGGACTGTCTTCCCTTCCCATTATATTGTTAAATCATCCAGGCCAGTCGGCCAAAATCTTTGCGCCGGGCAGTGTTGTCGCTGCGGAGAAATGGCCGTCGTCCCTCTTGATGCACATAGCCTTGTTGCATCGCCTAGCCTTTTTTATTTGCTTGCGGTACGTAGCGAAACCCAACAGCATTTTGCCACCTCTCTCAAACAGCAAATGTTGCAGCATGACTGCAGCAGCTAGCCCCAGTCTCTCTCTCTGTATACCTAGTGGGCTGAGACTCTGGGTTGGCTCGACTTGTTTGCGTTTTCCCCCCTCTCCGGGAAAAAGGAAGAGGAAGAGGAAGAGCAAGAAGAAGTAGATGTGTATTTCGTGTCTGGGGCCGATGCCTAT